GGCAGGGTCGTACTCTCCGAATGTTGTAGAGCATGAACCTGCAGGATCGGGTCACCGCCTTGATGTTAGCGGAGAACGACAGGGTGTTGTCCAGGGTCACACCAAGGCTCTTCGCACTCTGGGAGGAGGACACAACCGAGTTGTCAACCGTGATGGCGAGATCATGGAACGGGCAGTCCTTCCCCGGGAGGAAGAGCAGCTCCGTCTTGCCAGGGTTCAGCTTGAGGTGGTGATCCGTCATCCATACTGATATGTCTGCCAGACATGCAGAGATGCGATTCGCCACCTGGTTATCAGAAGGGGGAAAGGAGAAGATTAGTTGTGTATCGTCAGCGTAGCAATGATAGGAGAGGCCATGTGAGGATATGACAGAGCCAAGTGACTTGGTGTATAGGGAGAATAGGAGAGGGCCTAGAACTGAGCCCTGGGGTACACCAGTGGTGAGAGCACGTGGTGCGGAGACAGCTTCTCGCCACGCCACTTGGTAGGAGCGACCGGTCAGGTAGGACGCAATCCAGGAGTGAGCCGCGCCGGAGATGCCCAGCTCGGAGAGGGTGGAGAGGAGGATCTGATGGTTCACAGTATCAAAGGCAGCAGACAGGTCTAGAAGGACAAGAGCAGAGGAGAGAGAGTTAGCTTTAGCAGTGCGGAGAGCCTCCGTGACACAGAGAAGAGCAGTCTCAGTTGAATGACCAGTCCTGAAACCTGACTGGTTTGGATCAAGAAGGTCATTCTGAGAGAGATAGCAAGAGAGTTGGCTAAAGACGGCACGCTCAATAGTTTTGGAAAGAAAAGAAAGAAGGGATACTGGTCTGTAGTTGTTGACATCAGTGGGATCGAGTGTTGGTTTTTTGAGAAGGGGTGCAACTCTCGCTCTCTTGAAGACGGAAGGGACATAGCCAGCGGTCAAGGATGAGTTGATCAGCGAGGTGAGGTAGGGGAGAAGGTCACCGGAGATGGTCTGGAGAAGAGAGGAGGGGATGGGGTCAAGCGGGCAGGTTGTTGGGCGGCCTGCAGTCACAAGTCGCAGGATTTTATCTGGAGAGAGAGGGGAGAAAGAAGTCAAAGCATAGGGTAGGGCAGTGTGAGTAGGACCAACAGTGTCATTAGACTTAACAAACGAGGATCGGATGTCGTCAACCTTCTTTTCAAAGTGGTTGACGAAGTCATCCACAGAGAGAGAGGAGGGGGGGGGGGGGGGGGGGAGGATTCAGCAGGGAGGAGAATGTGGCAAAGAGCTTCCTAGGGTTAGAGGCAGATGCTTGGAATTTAGAGTGGTAGAAAGTGGCCTTAGCAGCAGAAACAGATGAAGAAAATGTAGAGAGGAGGGAGTGAAAAGATGCCAGGTCGGCAGGGAGTTTAGTTTTCTTCCATTTCCGCTCCGCTGCCCGGAGCTCTGTTCTGTGAGCTCGCAATGAGTCATCAAGCCACGGAGCTGGAGGGGAGGACCGAGCCGGCCGGCCGGGAGGATAGGGGACACAGAGAGTCAAAGGATGCAGAAAGGGAGGAGAGGAGGGTTGAGGAGGCAGAATCAGGAGATTGGAGGGAGAAGGATTGAGCAGAGGGAAGAGATGATAGGATGGAAGAGGAGAGAGTAGTGGGAGAGAGAGAGCGAAGGTTGCGGCGGCGCATTACCATCTGTGTAGGGGCAGAGTGAGTAGTGTTGGAGGAGAGTGAGAGAGAAAAGGAAACAAAGTAGTGGTCGGAGACATGGAGGGGAGTTGCAGTGAGATTAGTAGAAGAGTAGCATCTAGTAAAGATGAGGTCAAGCGTATTGCCTGCCTTGTGAGTAGGGGGGGACGGTGAGAGGGTGAGGTCAAAAGAGGAGAGGAGTGGAAAGAAGGAGGCAGACAGAAATGAGTCAAATGTAGACGTAGGGAGGTTGAAATCCCCCAAAACTGTGAGGGGTGAGCCATCCTCAGGAAAGGAACTTATCAAGGCGTCATGCTCATTGATGAACTCTCCAAGGGAACCTGGAGGGCGATAGATGACAAGGATATTAAGCTTAAATGGGCTAGTGACTGTGACAGCATGGAATTCAAATGAGGAGATAGACAGATGGGTTAGGGGAAAAATTGAGAATGTCCACTTGGGAGAGATGAGGATTCCTGTGCCACCACCCCTCTGACCAGATGCTCTCGGGGAATGCGAGAACACATGGTCAGACGAGGAGAGAGCAGTAGGAGTAGCAGTGTTTTCAGTGGTAATCCATGTTTCCGTCAGCGCCAGGAAGTCGAGGGACTGGAGGTTAGCATAGGCTGGGATGAAGTCAGCTTTGTTGGCAGCAGAACGGCAGTTCCAGAGGCTGCCTGAGACCTGGAACTCCAGGTGTGGGGTGCGTGCAGGGACCACCAGGTTAGAGAGGCAGCAGCCACGCGGTGTGAGGCGTTTGTGTAGCCTGTGCCGAGAGGAGAGAACAGGGATAGGCAGAGGCATAGTTGACAGGCTGTAGCAAATGGCTACAATAATGCAGAGGAGATCGGAATGAAATGAACTAAACATCTGGGAAAGGAGAGAGTAGGGCCTCCCTCACCAAAACTTCCACCTCAGAAACTATAATTGTTTCACTGAACCACCCGAACAAAAACTCTCCCAACTTCCACTTTTAGAAATTAGAATTGTTGTGAACTACAGCGGTTCAAAATGTCAAGGAATAGACTCAACTTACTTTATTCAGCTAGCTAACTATGACACCATAGCTAACTAGCATGCTAGCATCCAATAACACACAGTTTAGCACCAATACTTGGTTACAACAAACTACCAATAGTGTGTTAACACACTAAACAGATAATTCGTGTCCGTGTCTAGTTCCTTTCATAACGCAGCAATAATTAAACGTTGGCTAGCTAGCACAAGTATATTGTATTTAGCTGCTGCAGTACAGTTAGCTGGTCGTGTTGGCTAGCTAGCAATGGCTACTGTGTTGACTTTGTTTGAAAAACGGCTAGCTAGCTAGCTTCGTGCTACACCCGGCACCGCCGAAAACAATGCTAACCTACAATAACTACCCACAACAGCCCACGATGCCTAACTATGACGCCATAGCTAACTAGCATGCTAGCATCCAATAACACACAGTTTAGCACCAATACTTGGTTACAACAAACTACCAATAGTGTGTTAACACACTAAACAGATAATTCGTGTCTGTGTCTAGTTCCTTTCATAACGCAGCAAAAATTAAACGTTGGCTAGCTAGCACAAATATATTGTATTTAGCTACTACAGTACAGTTAGCTGGTCGTGTTGGCTAGCTAGCAATGGCTACTGTGTTGACTTTGTTTGAAAAACGTGCTGCGGGCCTACCTACAATACCTAACTACAATCTAAATACATAATTAAGCCTTACTCGACGAAGCCCAAGCTATGTATAAAGCCAAACTTACCCGACGCCAGCTGATATTTGTCTTCTGCAATCAGTAGGTGTAATTAAGTACAGTAGCTACTAACTACCTAACGTTGATGGCTCAGATAATGAGGTTAGAAAAACGGCTGAATGGTAGGTAGCTGGCTGGCTTAATTACAGGTACTCTTAAGCGTGAAATAACATTGGAAACAATGAATTGAATTGTGTTTGTTTGTTACAACCAAATATTAACATTTGAAGAAGAATTATCTTCTGATTGGATAGTTCCATCTGTGCCACTCACTTAGTCTGGCTGTAATTCCAGTTTGTCTACAAATTAATAATTGATATGTTGGATTCATGTCTCCATCTCAACCAAAAAGTTAAAGAATATGACTAACTCAAATCAAACTTTAAATGCACTTTAAATAAAGTTTGATTTGATTTAGTCCCATTCTTTAACTTAGCTTTTTGGTTGAGATGGATTTGTGTATGTTGAAATTTGGTTACCATGATGACATAATCCTGTAGTTGAAATTTTACACCCAAAACAACAGTTAGTCTGGCTGTAATCGTTGATGACTTTTTCACATAGATTCCATGTCACAAAACGTTGACAAATTACATTGATTCAACCAGTTTGTGCCCAGTGGGATGCTTTTTCATTTATCATTGGCACAAGCCTGAGGATGACTTTCAGAACCAAAGAGGTTTTGAAGAGGGGAAGAGGGGGAGTGAACAGATGTATCAATGAGATTTGTTTGTAAATGTTTTTATTTGGAATAAATATCTTGACGTCAAAGACAATTAAAAAATGCCAGCGTAGACAAAAAACAAAAAAACATGACAAAGTATTTACAATACTTATTTTGCGCACAGCCGAATGGATGTATACATAGTATACAAGACAGCCCATGCAAGGGCATGACATTGCACTCTTTTGCTGTACAAAGTGCAAATGATAAATGACAAATAAAATATTCCAAGTAATACAGGAACCATCTTTTAGATGGACAATGTGGTCCCTCTAAAGAACCAAAACAAGAAGCATATAATGGATTAAAAGAGGGTTTCATTAACTGTGTACAAAGAACAGCTTGCCTCTTGCCTCAGGGCTCTGGCTGTGGACAGGATGGAACAGAGAGCTCCAACAGAACACACATTCTGTAACAGTCTCAGAAAGATCAGGAGCCACTTAGATCATTTCATTTCAATGAGAATAACTCGGCTATGGCAACTGTGCCAAACACGTTGACAGGAATTCAGCAGCTGCACCACTGGCTCAACAACTGGAATGATAGTGGCAACGACGAACACACAATCAAACCCAATGATAAAGATGCTAACACACTTGCTATGTCCTAGTACTAGTCCAAATACTGCATCTATATTAGCACACTACTTAGAAGAATGCATGCCTGACACCCACTGCTTAATTCATTGTAAGTGGTCTGCTCCTGCAGATATTGGAACACACTGTCTGTCCATGTGCATGTGTGGAGGGGACGGTGGGGAAAGGGAGAATGAAAGGGAGTTAGCATTTTGTTGGACGGTGTACACTGAGTGTACAAAACATTATGAACACCTGCTCTTTTCATGACAAAGACTGGCCAGGTGAATCTAGGTGAAAGCTATGATTGATGTCACTTGTTAAATCCACTTCAATCCGTGTAGAGGGAGGGGGAATCAATCAGGCAACAGGCTGAGTCAACATCGTTCTCTGCTGAGCTGAGCTGAGCTGAACAACGTGGTAACGGCCGGTGAAGTCAGAGGCTGGGGCGCAGCCTAACTTAGTGTGGGGCTGGGCGCAGCCTAACTTAGAGGATGATGACATCGCTGAGAGCTCTCTCTCGCTAACATAGTGGTGTGGTGGTGACAGAGTGCAGACGACTACAGAGGCGTGGGTAGCAATTTTCCTTTTTCCTGTCCCAGTACGCTTCTAGGGACTGACTACACTACCGTATGGGGCTTTTTCTAAAGCAGCCAATAGGACGATTTTAGCGTCTATTTCTGTAACAGTTTCCGCTACTGAAGTTCTGCTGTCTGTCTGAAGTCTGTAGAAAGTTAATGTCTTATGCTGCATCCAAGTACAGGTTTATTTCTGCTCTTCTGTATTGTTTGCAAGAGGAGCACAGGGGAAACAGATATAATATCCCATTGCACTACCCCTTTTTGTCATTGCTAAAAAAATGTGTAGGCATATTTCATGTCGTGGAGGAGCAGAACACAATAGGAAAACAATTATTTTCATGGATCACGGAACAGATATCGCATCAACACATTCTATGCTTACCAAATGAATTCGTAATAAGAACATGTTAATTCTAGAACCAGGTGTGGAATGATTACCATGCTACTGTATCTACTGGTAATATTCGGTGCAATAATACTCTGTACAATAATCTGTATAGTACAACCATTTTCCCTGATTGTTATTCTACCTCTGGACGTAAAGGGGATACAATAAGTATTTTTGCAGTATAAAGTCTTCTCATGCAGTACAAGGGCATTATGATCTTTCCATACTGTCTGTTTTCTTTATGTTTTCCCAAAAAGTCTGGCTCCAGGATAAGCAGGTGAGAAAGCTGTGTGGACAGTTGGCTCGCCAGCGACTTAGAGTTCTGCTATGTCCCACAGAACCTGAACTTTACAACACCAGAGAGGGACAAGATGGTGCATTGGTTCCAGATACCTCAGGTCAACTGGATGGATTGCTGGCATATGAACATTCTAGTATACAATCTAGAATACATTGGGATTGTAACAAAAAATACAAACAACAACAACTCTTTCTGTAATATTGGCTCTTCAAAAGTGTTACCGGTATGTTGCTGTAACTAACCAATGACCTAAAGACTACAGCACATCTCCCTCTCAGTCTCTCTGTGTTTCCAACAACATTGTGTCCTTCATGTTCTTCACATTTGTCCCATGTTGCAGGCAGATGCCAGATACACCACAAACAAAGTTCTGGATCATTATGGGATTGTTTCTTCTTATTGGTTTTGTCTTTTCTTTGTCGAATGCATTTTTGAAAAACACACCATTCCATTGAGGAGGAATAGTACTGTAGACTAGGAGGGAACAATAGGAGGGTTCATGGTGTGTTAACAGGGCTTTAGGTGACAGAAGTCCAGCTCCTGTGGCTTGCGTTTCCCCGCGCTGCAGTGGTCCCGGGGCAGCTGCAGCCCCGTCTGGGTGGTACAGCGCAGCGGCCGCCTCTTGAAGCCTTTCCCGCAGCTCCTGGAGCAGGGCGACCACACCCCGATCTCCCACACCGGACAGGGGTCCCCACACACCCTGGTGGCCGAGGGCCTCATCGTCGAGTCACAGTCCAGCCCTGGCTCTCCGTCCTGCCCCAGGCACTGCACCAGCCTCCCCTGCACCCCGCTCCCACACGTCACCGAACACTCGTCCCACATGGCCGCGGACCACTTCCCCGGAATGGGCCCCTCGATACTGTATGAGGACTTCTTCAGGAGGTCCCCTCCTTCTCCTCCCTTCTGCCCCCCGCCCACTTCCTCCGCTAGAACACTATTATGTGACCTCGCCCGGTCCTCCTTCTTCTTGTCCTTGCTCTCGCGGGCCAGGTAGAAGGAGTAGCGGATGCGGGGAGGGGTCATTTGACCGACAGACAGGACCTCCACGGTGAGGGCCTCGCGGATCGGCTTCACAGCCAGCAAGGTCTCTGCCAGGCCGGCCGTACCGCTGTACCTCAGCAGGCTACCCTTCACGATGATGTCTCTCTCCACGGCAGACACCACGTAGTTCCCGTTAAGAAGGTACTGGCCCTGGCTGTTCTTCACCGCCAGGTAGTTGTCATCACTCACCAGGCCCTTGTAGCCACGCTGCCGGACGTCAATGTTGGATGCCCCCACCGGCAGCATGACCACAAAGTTGTAACCGTGTCTGGGAGGGGGAAATAGAATACTTTCATAAATCAGTAAAATCACTGTTATTAAACAGTTATAGCAATGTTTACAAAACCATTCCTTTTACATGGAATTCATCCAATCCATTCCTGTTATAGGAATTTGTGTCATTTGTAAACAATGACGACTTCTATGCATTACAAGATGGTTCTCCAAACACCTACGAGAAATCGCATAAATGGTCCTAGAACTCACATGGGTTTGGTGAAGAGTCCTGACACCTTCTTGCAGCTCTTGTTGTCACCTCCACAGATGCCACACTTGTCAAACTTCTTGTTGGAGCCCAGCTTGCCGTCACAACCAGCCTTGATACACTTCCCCTGGACACACACTGCTGAGGAGTCTGGAGAACACGGGGTCCCATCCACCACCTGGGATACAGAGATGTATATATTTTATTACTCAACAAATTGTTACATTATCTGTGAATAAACGTACATCACTAATCTCAAGGGACAGATGTTATGCAACATCAATAGCCAATTCAGTTCTGGGTTCTGAGATTAGTGTACATGACATACACAAACTGTACATGTAAAATATCACACCTGAGGGGTATCCTACGAAGCAGGTTTGAGGGGTATCCTACGAAGCAGGTTTGAGGAGTTAGCGAGGTAACTTTGGTCTACTCGGGATAACCGGTCATACGAAAGTGGCTCACCTTTTAGCCAGGTACATTTCTATGGCAACGAATTCTTCAGAACTAACCTGCTCCGGGCAGGCTAACTCTTGGCTAACTCCACTTACCCTGAGTGAAATGACTGAGCCGCAAGTTGAGGACCAATGAAATCAGATTCCGTCCCTCTTGCAAAGACGACTGATTAAATATTTTATTATTCAAATGTTTTTTTGTGTGTTAAAAAACAGTAATGTTAAAATATCACATTACACATTTAGTAATGACAAAATAAATGTAAAACTTCACGCAATGTAACACTTTTGTATGACTTAATAAAGAAATAAAAAATATCGATAGGAGTGGGGATAAAATATGCTTGTGCATTGATAAGCACACCAAAGCACACCAAAGACGGCATTAACGATAAGTAATAAAATAAAGATAAGTCATAAAATAAAAAAGCCTATTTCACACCATAGGCTGCTGAATTTGCAAGAAAACTTTTTTTTCATTTTGATTTCGGCACAAATGAATATTTGGCACTGACTCGCCCATGGATTGATGTTTCAGCATTGTCTCAATGAAGAGTTCGTTGTTCGACTAGCCAAGCGCGACATGCAAGTGCAGTTAAAAGCCTGCTAGAGTTAGCAACAGGCGGACGAGCAATATCCACTGTCGTAGTACGGATGAAGCCTGAGCTGGAATGTGAAGCTAACTGAGGCTGGTTAGCTTTAGAAAACCCTGAGTAGATATAGCTTGCGTCGTAGGATACCCCTCTGTTCTGACCTGCTGTGATGCGCTTAGACTGAGCAAAATATAGAGTTTACATACAGCCTTATAGTTGGTTCTCTCACCCTGAACATGACCCTACTAACGCATGATCAGCCTGTCTAGAGTGGAAGCAGTCGACCAGGTCAGTACGCTCAACAGTCTGTGTTGGCAGGGTCGGGGCCATGGTGAAATATGTAGCTGATAACTCAACACGGTGTCTGTGAGTACCGCCTCAACTGAACTCAACTGCCTTTTTTCCCATGACCCGGTCAAAACTGGGAGCCAATTGAAGTCCCAATTTTAAAAATAAACATACTTGTTCTCAGAAACTCTGTTCCAGTGTTGACCAGTAAGAGCTCTTATCATGTCTCTCTGCATATCTGCCCCTGCTCTGACAGCCTGCTAGTGTGACGGCAGCGTGAAGTGGAGGTTTGTGGACTGTGGAACCCGCAACTCCATGCCGTGACTGGGGCTCCTGCTCTGTCTCACTCCACACCACTCTGTCTGAACAAGATAAGCCTTGTCTCCATCTCCTCCTCCTTTCTTTTAAGACGCTGCTATCTTAGGTCAGTTCATCTGCATGTATGTGTGTGTGTGTGTGTGTGTGTGTGTGTGTGTCTGTGTGTGTCTGTGTGTGTCTGTGTGTGTGTTTTTGGGGGGGGGGGGGGGGGGGGGGGCGCAGTGGTTACTTACACATCTCAAGAAGGAGAGTGTTGGAAAGATTTTTCAAACACAGTGAGGAACTATTGCCTACATTTGCACACAGGCCAATTCCATTCGGATCTCAATTTCGGGATCCGAGAAGACCTCTAATGTGTAGTGGTTAACACTGCTGCGTCTAGCTCACATGTACCACGTCTTCATGATTTCAAATGTGCCTGCTGCTAACCTTAGGTTTGAGGACATAGAACAGAATAAAACAAAATAGAATAGGACAGTGGCTGCTAACTAACCTTGGGTGCAAGGACGTAGAAGTATCCGGTGCCGTTGGCCCTGCAAATGAGCTTGCACTTGTCCTTGGGGGAGACCCCGGAGTACTTGGGGACCCAGACCACAGAGGGGGTAAGACGGTTGGTGTTGAGGCTGAACCCGTTAAAAGCCTCACACTGCTCCTCGCGGTAGCTTTTACCTAAGACAGGGAGAGAGAGGTCAAGATGTTAGAGGTGAGGACCAACCATACAGGTTAGCACATTTACAGTAATGTTGATTAATGTGCACCGTCCCTGTAAAACTAAATGTAATAAAGTAAAAGTAATTGAGTAAAGTAGTTGTAGGTTTTGAGGGATGACCAGGCAGGGATCAACCTCTCTTGGAGCAAGGTACAACATGTTGCCACGCTCCGGAAGAAGTGGAGTGAGCTCATTGAGCTTACAATATGTCCCAAAGGGAATGGAGAGGATTAGGTAATTAAATATAGGAATTGGGCCGACTCTTACCTGCGTCAGGGCAGGGGTTCAGGCTACAGGAGCGGTACTTGACCCGGACCCCTTGGCAGTATTTGCCCCCGTTGGAGGGCACTGGGTTGTTACACTCCCTCTTGGCCAGTTGGACACCCCCGCCACACGTACGGGAGCAGGAGCCAAACGAACCCCACCTCCCCCACCGCCCGTCCACCTGAGGTGAGGTTATAACAGGTTATTATACGGCTATAACAGTGTTATTAAAGTGTTATTACATGGTTCTTATAAGAGATATGACAAAATGGTCTATGTCAGTGGCCTTTGCTCCAGCATGACTAAAAGGCCTAAATAAGTATGTTTGACAACATGTGGCTTGCGTCATTCACACCACAGTGGTAGTGGATTCACGTCTCTACTGACATGACATATCGCACACTGGTGTGAGAATTGCTTGAAAGCTTTAAGTGTATGAAGTGTGTTGATGAGTGTTTCACAAGTGTTTGACGAGTGTGTGTGTGTGTGTGTGTTTGTGTGTATGTGTGCCTGCCTGCCAACTGCATGAGCGTGCATGTGCATATCTCAGAGCCTTACCTTAGTCTTGTGTATATCCATCTTATCCATGCAGACGCCCCTCATACACAACTTTCCATCCCCACAGGCGGTGCCATCAGCCCAGGGGAAGTGACGTGTCTGACACACTAGCTGGCCCCGGGACTTCCCTGTACACCAGAGCCGACCACAGGGCGGCTGCATGAAGGGACAAGGCTTGGAGCCATCTCCAAAGGCCAGCTCGCACTGCCGGTCCAGGCTGTAGGATGATCCAGGGAGGACTTCAGGCAGGGCCAGAGGCTTCAGGGGCTGATCCAGCAGACACTCACCTAGTGAACAGAGAGAGACAGATACAGGCCATGAGTTACACAGCTACACCAACAGAGGTTTTTCACTCCAACTCTCAGTAAGGTTGAGTTTACTGTATTCAAGTGCCTGGAATTCAAGTGTTTAACTGCTCTGTCTTTTAGCATCCTTTCTCTTTTTTTCTTTTTCTGAAACCCTTTGCACGTGAGGATTTGAAAATGTTGGCGTGAGTGTGTGTGTATCTCTGTGTGCGTGCATGTGTGTGCAGATTAAACAAGTGCACAGCCTCTCAGCCAGCCACCCAGTTGTGACCCTGTGACGTCGACCCCTTTGAAGACGGCCCTTCAGAAACTGCTGATGGTTCATTACACTGAGCTGTTAAAGACCAACCCCAACCAAACACACGCACGCACGTACACACACACACACAGGAGGGGGTACGTCTGCCTCCTAAAACATACACACACAATCACTTGACTCGGCCAAGTCTAGTTTAACCCCTCAGTGTGCTGTTCCATATGTGTCTGCCTCTGCCCTGCTGAGTGGAGTAACGATCATACACACACACAAGCACACAGATATGCACACACACACACACACGTGCACGCACACACATGCACACAGACACACACACACACACACAAACAGGTACATGCAAATTAACTGACCTAAGACAGCACAGCTGAGTGTCGAAAGCCCTGCAGAGTGGAGTTACGATAAGAAGAAGCACAGAGCAGAGGACCTAGCTGTTTCCAGGAAAAGTCTAATAATAGTTGGGGTTTGACAGGCCTGTGTTACACAACATCAAAAGGCCAGACTGAGGCTGCTGTCACAAAATTACTGAATTGGAAGAGTCGGAACGTCTGTGATTTAGCACTCAGCGAGACACTCCTAACTTCTCAATACACTAAAATCTCATTTTATTTGTCACATGCTTCGTAAACAAAAGGGGTATACTAACAGTGAAATGCTTACTTACAGGACCTTCCCAACAATGCAGAGAGTAAATATATATATATATATATATATATATAACTCGAGGAATAAATACATAATGAGTATCAATAACTTGGCTATATACATGGGGTACCAGTACCGAGTCGATGTGCAGGGGAATGAGGTAATTGAGGTAGATATGTAACAGGGTTTACTTTAGCGGGTAATAGCCCGCTTTTGGCCTAAAAAAATCTGAAAAGCAGATAAATAAATTGGCACCTTGGCCGGGAGAAGAAAAAATCCCATTGCAAAATTATGCTTTTTAACCTATTCATGGAGGGAAATGCCAGTCGATGTAAATACATTTGACCAGTCATGCTTATCAGCTTATAGGTTAATTCGCATAATTTAGTGGAATTAAATTGTGTGTGTGTATTTAAAAATAATAATAATTGTAGCACCTTGCATGCATCTATAATCACATTTGCGTAGCATACAGTTGAGCAGATGCATTTTTATGATTTCCACACATGGGGATTTATTTTACTGCAGGGTCTAGATTTCTTATTGCCTTTTATAAATGCATTTCATGCATTCTACGTCATTTGCATGATAGAAGACATTAGCAGACTCTTTTTTAATACCACACAAATGGCCATGTGCAGGCTACTGTGCAACTCGCTATTTAGATAGGATGCATTTTTGGAACTTAATTTATTAAAACAAATGTATTTATAATAATTAGTTTTATCATCATTATTGTAGGCCTATTTATTAGTCTAAACCAGTTCTTTAAATAGCCTATGTAAAATGTGTTTTGTTTCATTCTGTTGAGAGATTGTCGTTGGCTAAATGAAGTTCGATCTATCTTTTAAATTGTGTGCATTTAGTTTAAGATAGGTTATAAAGTAAGCCTGTTGTAAAATAAATATAATTAGCCCATTGCTGTCACTTGTTGGGTACGGTAGGACCTAGACTTTCTTGATAATTCCTGCAATATAGCCTGTTCAAAACTTTTGTGAAGGTTTAAACCAGTTCGCAAGTGTTTTGTTTCATTCTGTTGAGCCATTTTCTTTGGCCAAATGAAGTTCCAACTGTAATGTTGTGTTTGCTCTGATATAATATCCTGCTTGTATTTTCCCTTTAGCAATAACTTGACTTACTTATGATATTACCTTACCTTAAGTTTAGAAACTTTGGTGAAGGTTTGGTGTGGTGTGGCTATTAGCCTATTAAATGCTACTGCAGGCCTATGATATGAAGGCAGTGGGCACTGGCACTCCAACTGACTATGACAGTAGAACTTGAAGTGAGGAAGAAAGATTTGGACGTACCAAATATTCTCCTATAATCTAACAATATAATGCTTATCTTTATAAAAAATAATATTTTGATAAAATATTAACGAATTAGCCTCCTTCTGTATGTATATCTATATAGCAGACGCAGTAGCCTATCTGACAAGGATAAATAAATTCATGTACAGTACCAGTCAAAGGTTTGGACACACCAACTCATTCAAGGGTTTTTCTTTATTTTTACTATTTTCTACACTGTAGAATAATAGTGAAGACATCAAAACTATGAAATAACACATATGGAATCATGTAGTGTTAAACAAATCAAAATATATTTCGAGATATGAGATTCTTCTAATAGTCACCTTTTGACTTTACGTCAGCTTTGCACATTCTTGGCATTCTCTCAACCAGCTTCACCTGGAATACTTTTCCAACAGTCTTGAAGGAGTTCCCACATATGCTGAGCACTCGTTGGCTGCTTTTCATTCACTCTGCCGTCCGACTCATCCCAGACCATCTCAATTGGGTTGAGGTCGGGGGATTGTGGAGGCCAGGTCATCTGATGCAGCATTCCATCACTCTCCTTCTTGGTAAAAAAGCCCTTACACACCATAACACCTCCTCCTCCATGCTTTACTGTGGGAATTACACATGCGGAGATCATCCGTTCACCCACACCGCGTCTCACAAAGACAAGGCGGTTGGAACCAACAATCTCCAATTTGGACTCCAGACCAAAGGACACATTTCCAATGGTCTAATGTCCATTGCTCGTGTTTCTTGGCCCAAGCAGGTCTGTTCTTCTTATTGGTGTCCTTTAGTAGTGGTTTCTTTGCAGCAATTCGAACATGAAGGCCTGATTGACAAGTCCCCTATAAACAATTGTTGTTGAGATGTGTCTATGACTTGAGCTCTGTGAAGCATTTATTTGGGCTGCAATTTCTGAGGCTGGTAACTCTAATTAACTTATCCTCTGCAGCAGAGGTAACTCTGGGTTTTCCATTCCTGTGGCGGTCCTCATGAGAGCCAGTTTCATCGTAGCGCTTGATGGTTTTTACGACTGCATTTGAAGAAACAAAGTTCTTGAAATGTTCCGTATTGACTGACCTTCATGTCTTAAAGTAATGATGGACTGTTGTTTCTCTTTGCTTATTTGAGCTGTTCTTGCACTTGGTCTTTTACCAAATAGGGCTATCTTCTGTCACCTTGTCAAAACACAACTGATTGGCTCAAACGCATTAAGAAGGAAAGAAATTCCACAAATTAACTTTTAAGAAGGCACACCTATTAATTGAAATGCATTCCAGGTGACTACCTCATGAAGCTGGTTGAGAGACTGCCAAGAGTGTGCAAAGCTGTCCTCAAAGTAAAGGGTGGCTATTTTGAAGAATCTCAAATATAAAATATATTTTGATTTGTTTAACACTTCTTTGGTTACTACATGATTCCATATGTGTTATTTCATAGTTTTGATGTCTTCACTATTATTCTACAATGTAAAAAAAAATGTAAAAATAAAGAAAAACCCTTGAATGAGTAGATGTGTCCAAACTTTTGACTGGTAGTGTAGGTGTCGTAGCATACCACTGGCATACAGTGAGGGAAAAAAGTATTTGATCCCTTGCTGATTTTGTACGTATGCCCACTGACAAAAAAATGATCAGTCTATAATTTTAATGGTAGGTTTATTTGAACAGTGAGAGACAGAATAACAACAAAACAATCCAGAAAAACGCATGTCAAAAATGTTATAAATTGATTTGCATTTTAATTAGGGAAATAAGTATTTGACCCCCTCTCAATCAGAAAGATTTCTGCCTCCCAGGTGTCTTTTATACAGGTATTTATACACTCTTAAAGGGAGTGCTCCTAATCTCAGCTTGTTACCGGTATAAAAGACACCTGTCCACAGAAGCAATCAATCAATCAGATTCCAAACTCTCCACCATGGCCAAGACCAAAGAGCTCTCCAAGGATGTCAGAGACAAGATTGTAGACCTACACAAGGCTGGAATGGGCTACAAGACCATCGCCAAGCAACTTGGTGAGAAGGTGACAACAGTTGGTGCGATTATTCGCAAATGGAAGAAACACAAAAGAACTGTCAATCTCCCTCGGCCTGGGGCTCCATGCAAGATCTCACCTCGTGGAGTTGCAATGATCATGAGAACGGTGCGGAATCAGCCCAGAACTACAAGGGAGGATCTTGTCAATGATCTCAAGGCAGCTGGGACCATAGTCACCAAGAAAACTATTGGTAACACACTACGCAGTGAAGGACTGAAATCCTGCAGCGCCCGCAAGGTCCCGCTGCTCAAGAAAGCACATATACAGGCCCGTCTGAAGTTTGCCAATGAACATCTGAATGATTCAGAGGAGAATTGGGTGAAAGTGCTGTGGTCAGATGAGACCAAAATGGAGCTCTTTGGCATCAACTCAACTCGCCGTGTTTGGAGGAGGAGGAATGCTGCCTATGACTGCAAGAACACCATCCCCACCGTCAAACATGGAGGTGGAAACATTATGCTTTTGGGGGGGGGTGGTTTCTGCTAAGGGGACAGGACAACTTCACCGCATCAAAGGGACGATGGACCGGGCCATGTACCGTCAAATCTTGGGTGAGAACCTCCTTCCCTCAGCCAGGGCATTGAAAATGGGTCGTGGATGGGTATTCCATCATGACAATGACCCAAAACACATGGCCAAGGCAACAAAGGAGTGGCTCAAGAAGAAGCACATTAAGGTCCTGGAGTGGCCTAGCCAGTCTCCAGACCTTAATCCCATAGAAAATCTGTGGAGGGAGCTGAAGGTTCGAGTTGCCAAACGTCAGCCTCAAAACCTTAATGACTTGGAGAAGATCTGCAAAGAGGAGTGGGACAAAATCCCTCCTGAGATGTGTGCAAACCTGGTGGCCAACTACAAGAAACGTCTGACCTCTGTGATTACCAACAAGGGTTTTGCCACCAAGTACTAAGTCATGTTTTGCAGAGGGGTCAAATATTTCCCTCATTCAAATGCAAATCAATTTATAACATTTTTGACATGCGTTTTTCTGGATTTTTTTGTTGTTATTCTGTCTCTCACTGTTCAAATAAACATACCACTAAAATTATAGAATGATCATGTCTTTGTCAGTGGGCAAACGTACAAAATCAGCAGGGGATCAAATACTTATTTCCCTCACTGTATATGTATCTCTCTCTCTCTCTCTGGGGCTAGGCCTAAGCTTCTATTCCTTTATATTTTATTTTTAAATATTAATATCATATAGTGGATGCCTAAGCCTATAGGCCTATTTGCATGCAATTCCCTGATGCATTTAGTGCTCAAATCTACAACAGCTGAACCGTGAGGTTGACAATTATTGTTTTAGGAAAGTAAAAACCAATAAAACCATATGCTTTAAAATTTTGCATATGCAACACATCGAAAATCGAAACACAAGGAAGAGTGCTTTTGTAATGACATGTAAATAATTTGGCCAATAGCCCTCAGTTATTGATGCCGATAGCTGCATGGGTGGACGCCCTAATGGGTTCGATGACCAGTACATTTCTCAAATGTCCGATAAATGAAAATCTTCCTGGTCACTCGTCCAGTGCAGGATTTCTGTTAGCCGGTAAAAGCCAGCTTTTGGGCGATTTTTTTTATTTAGAAAAGGCGATAAAATGAGCACTGGCTAATTGTCCGGGAGAAGAAAAAAGGGTCGGATGCCAAGCAGTTGCCATACCAAGTGGTGATACAGCCAGTCAAGATGCTCTCAATGGTGCAGCTGTAGAACATTTTGAGGATCTGAGGGCCCATGGCAAATATCTTCATCCTTCTGAGGGGGAAGAGGAGTTGTGTTGCCTTCTTCACGACTGTGTTGGTGTGTGTGGACCATGTTAATTCCTTAGTGATGTGGACACCGAGGAACTTGAAGCTCCCGATCCGCTCCACTACAGCCCCGTCGATGTGGATGGGGGCATGCTTGGCCTTCCATTTCCTGTAGTCCACAATCAGCTCCATTGTCTCGCTGACGTTGAGAAGAGGTTCTCCTGACACCACACTGCCAGGTCACTGACGTCCTCCCTATAGGCTGTCTCATCATCTTCGGTGATCAGGGCTACCACCGTTGTGTCATCATCAACAGCAAACGTAATGATGGTGTTGAAGTCGTGCTTGGCCACGCAGTCATTGGTGAACAGGGAGTACAGGAGGGGACTAAGCATGCACCCCTGAGAGGCCCACGTGTTGAGGATCAGAGTGACGGATGTGTTGTTGCCTACCCTCATCACCTGCGGGAGGCCCGCCAGGAAGTCCAGGTTCAAGTTGCAGAGGGAAGTGTTCAGTACCAGGGTCCTGAGCTTAGTGATGAGCTTGGAGGGCACTATGGTGTTGAACGCTGAGCTGTAGTCGATGAATAGCATTCGCACATAGGTGTTCATCTTGTCCAGGTGGGAGAAGGCAGCGTGGAGTGCAATAGAGATTGCATCATCTGTGAATCTGTTGGGGCGGTTTGCAAATTGAAGTGAGTCCAGGGTGTCTCGGATGATCGTGTTGATGTGAGCCATGCATTTCACGGCTACAGATGTGAGTGCTACGGGATGATAGTCATTTAGACAGGTTACCTTGGCGTTCTTGGGCACAGGGACAATGGTGGTCTGCTTGAAACATGTAGGTATTACAGACTGGGTCAGGGAGAGGTTGAAAATGTCAGTGAAGACACTTGCCAGCTAGTCAGCCCATGCTCCTTGTACGTGTCCTGGTAATCTGTCTGGCCACGCAGCCTTGTGAATGTTAACCTGTTTAAAGGTCTTACTCAAATTGGCTACAGAGAGCGAGATCACACAGTCGTCCGGAACAGCTGGTGCTCTCATGCATGGTTCAGTGTTGCTTGCCTTGAAGCGAGCATAGAAGGCATTTAGCTCGTCTGGTAGGCTCGTGTCACAGGGCAGTTCACGGCTGGGTTTCCCTTTGTAATCCATGATAATTTGCATGCCCTGCCAAATCCGATGAGCATCAGAGCCGGCGTAGTAGGATTTGATCTTAGTCCTGTATTGACGCTTTGCCTGTTTGATGGCTCGACGAAGGTCTTAGCGGGATTTCTTATAAGTGTCCGGATAATGTCCCACTCCTTGAAAGCGGCAACTCTAGCCTTTAGCTCAGTGCGTTCACACACAAATCCATGGCATGCCTGTAATCCATGGCTTCTGGTTGGGATATGTACGTACGGTGGGGAAGACGTAGTTGATGCATTTATTAATGAAGCCGGTGACTGATGTGGGGCGGCAGGTAGCTTAGTGGTTAAGAGCGTAGTGCCAGTAACCGAAAGGTTGTTGGTTCTAATCCCTGAGCCGACTAGGTGAAAAATCTGTCGATGTGCCCTTGAGCAAGGCACTTAACCCTAATTGCTACTGTAAGTCGCTCTGGATAAGAGCGTCTGCTAAATGACAAAAAATTTAAAAAAAATTGTTAAATGTGGTAAACTCCTCAATGTTATCGGATGAATACTGGAATATATTCCAGTCTGTGCTAGCGAAACAGTCCCGTAGTGCTTCATCGGACCACTTCCGTATTGAGCGCGTCATTGGTACTTCCTGTTTGAGTTTTTTGCTTGTAAGCAGGAATCAGGTAGGGCGACGGAGAGCGTTGTATACGTTTCTGTGCGTGGAGTAAAGGTGATCTAGAATTTTGTGGCCTTTAGTTGCACAGGTGACATGCTATATGGACCTATAAAATGAGGTAAAATGGATTTCACTTTCCTTGCATTAAAATCACCGGCCACGAGAAGCGCCGCCTCTGGGTGTACATTTTCTTGTTTGCATATGGACCTATACAGGTTGTTGAGTGCCATAACTTCCTTAACATTAGAGACCGTGCACCAGCTGTTGTTAACAAAGAGACACACTCCTAACGTCTCAAGGCACTCCTAACTTGTGTGCATGCGTGCGTGCTTGTGCTACTGTGAACCAGCCATTGTCGTTGTCTACTCTTCTCTGTCCTGAGGGAAAATGTCCTGAAAAGGGCATAAAAATAGAATGGAACGAACAGAGCGTTTTTCTTCTATTCTATTTGAACCTGCGTGGGAAGCATTGGGGACTACACCTAGCTGCCCAAACCACTGCGGTGGTTCTTGGTACGACAGCCCCTCTAATTTGGGACATATGTTCAGGATAGTAGGCCTTGAAATAACAGTTTGTCACTGATCTGGGTCCAGACCTTATGGTTTGCCCTGCTTGGCACACGTTCCATATTCAAGAGAGTAGGATGTCTGTAGAGAGAGTTCTCTCTCTCTGTCTGTATTGTAACGTTTTGTGAGTGCATGCAATGTTACAATGAGGGTAGCCTGTCTGGTCTGTGCACATGTCCCGTTTAGAGTTATCTGATTCATGATTTGTCTTTACGACAGGGACAACTATATTATAGCTGCTGTTACCCCATCAGGTTATATTCATGGCTAAGAGGTTATTACATTCTTGGACTATTTGAAGACTCATAATCATAATGTTAAGCAATTTAAATGTTCAAAACACATTTCCCTTTCAGGGACAATAACTTCCATCTTATCTATTTTATCTTATCAAGCTGAATTGAGAAAAATCAAGAGACAAATGTCTGCATTGCGAAGTAAGTCAGCCTGCTCCTTAACAACCCCAGGCTTCATAGCCCCCTGGTTACTGACCAAGTGGCAACAGATAACAGGCTAGACTGTGTGACTCTGTTTGTGACAGGGACACAACAGGAACAGGAACAGAACAGGCTCTGTGATTATGTGTCCAGCAGCACGTTAGGATGGGCATGTGCTCTCTCAATGTGATCAGCCATCAGCAGTCCTGTTGCCAACACAACACAAGATGTTTGTACTGTATGTTGTCAACCAGTGAGTGTGTTATAAGGGGGGGCCTGAAGCACCACAGTGAGACTGAGTTCAGCTGAGACTCACTCACACCTCTTTATCAAACACTCTCCCTACATTCCTTCCTCATGTTCTACACAACAAGGGTCAGGGGTTAGGGGTCAGAGGGTAAGAGTCAGGATGACTCACCATGTCCACTGTCCAGGCAGTTTACCAACCTTGTAGGGTTTTCCCACCTATTACGCAAGATAAATGGGTTTTGCATAAGGGTTTGCCCACTTATTTACCAGCAGCACTCAAGGGTTACCCACATATCTCTTTACCACTACCACACTTTAGTCAGGGGTCAGGTATGTGCTGTGCGTACATGCCTATGTGTGAGTGTCAGGGGTTAGAGGTCAGAGGTTGTGCTGACTCACCATGTCCACTGTCCAGGAAGTCAGTGATGATGGCTGCGCTGCAGGGGGACCAAGGGCTGGTCCTGTTGATCTGGATCAGGGTAGGGGACATCATGTGGTTGTCCTTCAGCTTCCCAAACGTCTCCTCACACGCCTTCACATTGTCATGCGGCATGTTGAACACGTGGCCTATAGCAGGAAGAGGAAGGAAGGGAGACATTACCGTCAACTGTCTCATTCATCTTTGTTAGTCAATATATTACTTACTAGATTTACTTGGGCGGCATAAGTCATATGGCTTGTTGTTTTTGTCAGTCAATAAACACTAGACATTTACAAAATTATTTTAAGTTGCTCAGGTATTCTGAAAGGAGGTGTAATATTATATCAGCGCTGATACTGTTCAAACTATAAAGAGGAAATCTGGGTCACTTTTGAGTAACTATTCTTGGCACACTGACAAAACAGCAGCTTTGGGTTCTCAATGACCATGAGAGTGGGGTTTGGAGAGGACAGCAGGTTTGGGTGAATGGGTTCACCCCATTGGGTCAATTCAGTCAATTCATGAAGTAAACTGAACATCCAATTCCAGCCCTGGAGGATGGACTGAGGGGATGTGACAGAGCACTCACCAAGCTCATGAGCAGTGGTGAAGGCGGAGGGCAGGCCGTCGTCTTCTATCACAGAGCAGCTTCTTTTGGGGTCACACATGGTGCCCACGTCAGCCATGCCCAGGGTGTCACAGGTGGAGGCTCCACACAGGTCCTGGATAGGAGATAACACACACACACACTGGTCAGACAAACACACTCAGCTCTCTTACAAACTCATCTCACTCATCTCTCCCATTACACATGGAAATTACATTTCTATTGCTGTTCTGAGATTTTATTAGGATATTCCCTTGCTGTCGAGAAAATTTGACCCTCTTACTTGTCGTGCTTTTAAGAACTTGAAAGATGAGGACAACACAGTAGTATGTACTATATATAGTGATTGTATTGGGTGTCATTATGCTGTGACAAATCATTCTAACACATCTGCTTTGGCTTGCCATGAGGTGTCACGTTCTCCCAATAGGCATTGCTTTCTGGAAACCCCCGCAACACATTCAATCTACCTGTACTTGAGTTTATGTAAATGCCTCCAATTGTTCTGCCAAGTAGCAAGTTTCCAATTGACCTATATTTCTGCACCACACTGTTTTAAACACAATGGATGCTAGTGAGTGAGGACCAATTTGGAGCTCATTATCACAGGCCTCACTGACAACCAGGCAGTACCCAAAAAACCCATGGAGCAATGCCCTTCTGCCCAAATTGGTCTTAAAATTGACTTTCCAGCAGTACTTACAAACAGCAATGCCATGGTCAACCATTAGAGCTGAGCTAACGCCTTATACATACACCCATCATTACTATTGAGAATATCCATGCACACCAACATGGTCTCAGGGCAATTTGTATTATTCTTTAAGTCAATCTGTGACACTCAATTTAGTATGATACAGTATGTTACGTGACGTCAGGTTACATTATGAATGGAATAGCGGTCGTACAATATCATAGAAATTAGAGGACGTATAGTATCATACATCTTACCTGGTCGTAAAATAGAATACGAATTGGATGACGGAAGTTATCAAACATCTTGGAGGACATGTAGTATTATACGTCTTTCTCTGAGACCAGGTTGCTTGTTGTGTGTAACAACAAAGTAGATTTACGGGGAGAATTTACGCTGGCGGTTAGGGGGACTAACAACAAAGGTTAGGATAAATTACGTGAAAGGTTAGGGGAACTAAAACAACAAAGGTTAGGTGAATTTACGTAGTAGGTTAGGTGAATTGGGTTAAGTTTAGAATAAAGGTTAGGGGAAGGGTTAGTTAAAATCATACAGTTGTTCCCGACGTGACTCGAACACACAACCTTTAGATTGCTAGATGGTCGCAGATTACGCCCAACCAATCACCCTACTTTAGTTTCTGTCTAAAGTAACTAGACCATTAGTAGGTATCATACATGTTGGAGGTGCTCAGAAATACATTAAGAATGTTTTGTATTGCTCTGATGCGAGGCTGTGCACACTAGAGTAGAATCTTCCACAAACACACAGTAAAAACCCTCGATCCCAAAGCTCCTCTCAGCTTTGATCTGGTATTTACAAGTATATCCAAACTGAAGACTTAAAGTACTGTGACAAATTATTTCCAGTATACACCACAATTGTTAGAAGATGACTGTCTAATCCAGATGTGTGTATGCATGCTGTGCTCGCCTGTGTGTGTGCTTGCCTTTGTGTGTTTGTGCATGTGTGTGTGTGTGTGTGTGTGTGTGTGTGTGTGTGTGTTTGTGTGTGCGTGCGCATGTGTGTTTTTATCTCAATATCAAATAATTTCTGGTTAACAAGTACCTGTGATTTTTTTCAATTAAAATAGTCAAAAAGAAACAAAAATAGCTTCTTAGCAAAGAGCAATTTTTCAAGCAATAATTTTTCTACGACTGTCTGGGAGTGGTCTGAGTGGGGAGGGGAACACTGAAAACTAGCTGTTATTGGCAGAGAGGTTTAGAACTCTCTTTCTTATTGGTCTATTAACTAATTTACCACCTGGTGATATCATCAGGCAGGCCAAAACTCCATCCCACCAATACAGGCAGAAATTTCAGGCATCTTTTCAAACAGCTCTTACACTAAAAGGGCATTATCATCATACACAATTTCATAGTATTATTTCAACCTCATTGTGTGGAAATATATATAAAATCAAATCAAATTGTATTTGTCACATACACGTGTTTAGCAGATGTTATTGTGGGTGTAGCGAAATGCTTGTGCTTCTAGCTACAACAGTGCAGTAATATCTAACAAGTAATATCTAAGAATTTCACAACATATACCCAATACACACAAATCTAAGCAAGGAATGGAATTAAGAATATATACATACACTACCGGTCAAATGTTTTAGAACACCTACTCATTCAGGTGTTTTTCTTTATTTTTACTATTTTCTACATTGTAGAATAATAGTGAAGACATCAAAACTATGAAATAACATATATGGAATCATGTAGTAACCAAAAAAGTATTAAACAAATCAAAAAATATTTTATATTTTAGATTCTTCCTACAGCCACCCTTTGCCTTGATGACAGCTTTAGACACTCTTGGCATTCTCTCAACCAGCTTCATGAGGTGATGCATTTAAATTAACAGGTGTGCCCTCTTAAAAGTTATTTTGTGGAATTTCTTTCCTTCTTAATGCGTTTGAGACAATCAGTTGTGTTGTGACAAGGTAGGGGGTGTATACAGAAGATAGCCCTATTTAGTAAAAGACCAAGTCCATATTATGGCAAGAACAGCTCAAACAAGCAAAGAGAAACGACAGTCCATCATTACTTTAAGACATGAAGGTCAGTCAATACGGAACATTTCAAGAACTTTGAACGTTTCTTCAAATGCAGTCGTAAAAACCATCAAGCGCTACGATGAAACTGGCTCTCATGAGGACCGCCACAGGAATGGAAGACCCAGAGTTAGCTCTGCTGCAGAGGATAAGTTAATTAGAGTTACCAGCCTCAGAAATTGCAGCCCAAATAAATGCTTCACAGAGCTCAAGTCACAGACACATCTCAACAACAACTGTTCATAGGGGACTTGTCAATCAGGCCTTCATGGTCGAATTGCTGCAAAGAAACAACTACTAAAGGACACCAATAAGAAGAAGAGACATGCTTGGGCCAAGAAACACGAGCAATGGACATTAGTCCGGTGGAAACGTGTCCTTTGGTCTGGAATCCAAATTGAAGATTTTTGGTTCCAACCGCCGTGAGACGCGGTGTGGGTGAACGGATGATCTCCACATGTGTATTTCCCACCATAAAGCATGGAGGAGGAGGTGTTATGGTGTGGGGGTGCATTGCTGGTGACACTGTCTGTGATTTATTTAGAATTCAAGGCACACTTAACCAGCATGGCTACCACAGCATTCTGCAGCGATACGCCATCCCATCTGGTTTAGGCTTAGTGGGACTATCATTTGTTTTTCAACAGGACAATGACCCAACACACCTCCAGGCTGTGTAAGGGCTATTTTACCAAGAAGGAGAGTGATGGAGTACTGCATCAGATGACCTGTCCTCCACAATCCCCCGTCCTCAACCAAATTGAGATGGTTTGGGATGAGTCGGACCGCAGAGTGAAGGAAAAGCAGCCAACAAGTGCTCAGCATATGTGGGAACTCCTTCAAGACTGTTGGAAAAGCATTCCAGGTGAAGCTGGTTGAGAGAATGCCAAGAGTGTGCAAAGCTGTCATCAAGGCAAAGGGTGGCTATTTGAAGAATCTCAAATATAAAATATATTTTGATTTGTTTAACACTTTTTGGTTACTGCATGATTATATATGTGTTATTTCATAGTTTTGATGTCTTCACTATTATTCTACAATATATAAAATATCAAAAATAAAGAAAAACCCTTGAATGAGTAGGTTTTCTAAAACTTTTGACTGGTCGTGTATATGGACGAGCAATGACAGAGCGGCATGGACTAAGATACAGTAGAATAGTATAGAATACAGTATATACATATGAGATGAGTAATGCAAGATATGTAAACATTATTAAAGTGGCTAGTGTTCCATTTCTTAAAGTGGCCAGTGATTTCTAGTCTATGTCTACTGGCAGCAGCCTCTAATGTGCTAGTGATTGCAACACAGGACAATCACGTTTTTGATTGCACTGGGCCTATGAGAAAATATATTAAACTGCAATGAGCTGCTGTGTTTTCATCTGCCAATGACCTACTTTTCACATCCGCCATATCTTTCCATGGTGTGGACTCACTCACCCAGCTGTTTAACACAGACACGCACGCACGCACACACACACACACACACACACACACACACACACACACACACACACACACACACACACACACACACACACACACACACACACACACACACACACACACACACACACACATACACACACACACACACACACACACACAACCGCCAATCCTGACTCTCCATCCTCTCCATCTTTCCACGGTGTGGACTCACTCACCCAGCTCTTTAATGACAATGACCAATAATATTGTTCCAATCCTGACTAATCATAATTAAAAGACCCACAGCTTTTTGGTGACCTTGTTTCTGCATGTTACTTCCTCTTTTCACAGAACCAGGCATAGAACAGAGTAGGATACCCTCCCCTTCATAACATGTCATGTTGCTAGTGACGGCTCAGTAAGGCCTGGGGGGACATTCAAAAGCAACATGTTGTTGCACAGCATTGCAACAGAACAGAGTAGGGCTGGGAACCAATCAAAGTTGCAGTGATTCAATCAATCAGCCGGTGGCTGATTAGTAGGGGCCTGGAGGCATATTCAAAAGCAACATGTTGTTGCACAATGTTAAAAGAGCAACAGCGAGAAAGAATTAGGCACTAAACAAGTTGCACAACAACAACTGCAGCAGCTTGCACCGACAACTGGAAACCTTGGTCTCATCCACCAGTATCACCGGGCAGGGTTTTATAAGATCTGGAAATACTTAGCTAGGTGTGTCCTTCCCCCTTGTTACCCTGGTGTGTATCTGTCTATCATGGAAGTTAATAGCAAACTTAGTGTAGAGTTACTCTCCCCTCCAGCCCTCTCTGGGGAAATATGAATCTGGCAGGTTTATGGTCAGAATCCATTACTAATCTTTTGGAAAAGGGGTTTTCACATACACTGCACATTCTGTGGACGTTACTGTGCGATCTCTGCAAGCTGCAGAGCAGTAAGGAAGGAGCCATGGGGAGAACTGAGGCTCCCTGTGAGAGCTGAGTGGCCTATATAATACGCATAAGTATAGTACATTAAACTCAGCATAAGTAAACATCACATCAGGCGCAATCTGTGCCTTCCTCGAGCCATTGTGCTGTTGATTGCAAACCATTTCAAGACCCTTTCACAGGCATCTATATCTAATGTGCCTACTCAGCAGGGGGAAAATGGTTGAAATGGCGTTAGAAACTGATTTAAATTACGTCATTGTGATGTCATGCCCGCTGGGTATTTAGAATGAAAATGCCTATGCCACAAGCATGGAAAGTGTCCTATGACTGTCTCCTGCTATGGACCAAGGTCGGCTGACTGCATCATCAGCATCACCACCACCCCAGGTCTGGCAAAACCTATTCATCGTCACTGTGCCAAAGACGGCTCCTCTCCTCAAGCAACACTGACCCAATTGGCACCCGGTGGTACAAACAGCAGACTTTCATTAAGCTTTTATAACGTCCAAACTGTTCCATGTGTGCATTACCCCTCCTTCTCTTTCCATTTCTCTCTCTTCCTCTCTCTATCTCTCCAACTCCCTCTCAATTTGTCTACCTTCTCCCACTCTCTCTTTCACTCTACCTTCTCCCACTCTCTCTTTCTCTCTAGTTCTCCCACTCTCCCCCTTCTCTCCCCCCTCCTCTCTCTCCCTCTCTCTCTATCCCCTCTCTCACTATCCCCTCACTCTCTCTTTCTCTCTCTCTCTCTCACTCGCTCTCTCTCTGAGTCACAGACTACATACCAGTGTCCACCACAACTCAGCTTTAACATGTTGAATCAGACGTGTTGTTATTATAGACAGACATGAGTGGAAATGGAAAGGAGAGCTGGAGAGAGTGGGAGTGGGGTGAGAGGAGAGGAGGAAGTTAAGATTACTGCCAATAAAAGAAAGTCAAGAAATTCACACAAGGGTCTGCTGTGTGGTAGTTGTAAGGGGCCCATTGGGAGTATTGGGTCTCATAATGACAGCTTCACAGCTGAAGGTGAGATCTGTTAGTCTTTCACGTCCCCTCCAATGTTCAGGAACATTAAGACTCATTTGTCATGAGGAATAATCTGAATGCCTGAGGGAGCTACATTTAAACTGAAACGGATTGTTTCAAGTCTTTCTTTCTCCCACTTCCCATGACAGTATCTTTTTAAATTATGAGCCCAAGCCCATGCTTTGGAAGGTTTTACCTCACAGAACTGAATAGTTTCTCACTGGTCATAACAAATCCTTTTGCCAATGGTCGGTATGGTTACCAACATTACTGTGAAGGCAATGACTGCAGCGTGTAATTCTAGAGATAACATATTCATCCAACTTGTTGAATTAAGTTTGATCAATCTACTCCACTTCTAATAGGCCTATTGTGATTGACATTACTTTTCTAGCCTACATTCAGCCTATACAGCTGCCAACTAAGCCAACCAAAGCGTCGCCTGGAGATATGATTCTGACACATTCCATTTTCTAATAGTGATGCTGATCCAAATTGCCATTCTTTGCCACTCTTTACCACAGCCAACGTGCTGACACACACAACAGTCAGTCTCTGTTATGTTATTAATGTGTAATTACTTGGTTATAGCCTGACGTGAGACTGTTTATATTTAGTGGTTTTAGGATGACAGGCTCATATGGTGCCACTTAAAATGACTTACAAGGCTTCTTTGTCACTTTTGGGGTTTTGAGAGGGAAGTGTGTGACTTATGATGGCCAACTGTGCCACTCCACACTGACAGTGCTACTAAGCCTCTTTTATTAGGTGTAAATCTGAGGGACTCGATAAAGTTGGGCTATATTAAAGGTAAGGTTTAGCCAACTGGAAACCACTATGGTAAATTAAAAAGAAACAAGATGTGTAATTGTGTAGTTATTGTGTAATTGTATTAAATCTCCAGTGTATTTTGAATAGCCGACAATCAATTCTCAATCAACTTTCATAATGATTTTCACAATATGTGTAGGTGAACAACACTGACGAGTGACAGGTTAATAGGTCAAAAAGTAATTGCTGTAGAGGTCACATGGTAGAAACGCAGGAATGAATTGAAATACACACAAACAGATCTAAATCAAAAAGCTAAAACTGAGCCAACAACCCAGATGAGAAATGTGCACTAGGCAGAGGAGAGGTGTGCTGACTCCTGTCCCTTGCGGCTGGCTGCAGCTGCGAGGCTCTCCCTCCTTTAGTGCTGCTGTGGTTTCAGACCGGGGGCAAGCAAGTCGGCCAAGCCCAGAGACTTGGAGGGAGGGAGAGAAGGATAGGGGAATTTCTGACATGTTCATGGTGTTCTTCCCCAGGGGCATATTTAATGGGGAGCAGATCAGGCATCCTCAGAGGGGAATGGGGGAGGTGGGGAGAGACAGGTCGGAGCATTTACAGCTGGAGACAAGGCAGGGTGGGGAAGGTCCACATAAAACAAGACACTTCCGATTGTTGCATCCCTCGGGGTACTGATAGACTGACTGGCACTCCCTTGTCACAGAGCACAGGTAAAATAACTAAGCTAGTTGAATTAGTTTGTTGGTCAATTTCCTATTGGATTATTATGTTCAGTATGTTCGCTAGAAAGTACAGTGACTTGGTCTTGAAGAAATTGGCCATGACATAATGTGCTATATGACATGATCCGGAATATGACATTATTTAAATGACATCTGCCAAGTAAGGGTGGTTGAGTACAGCACTGCACTGACATTAGGTTTGGCTTTGCCATTCTATTTATTACATGAAAGCTCTGAGACTACAGCAGGTAACTGTATGGTAACTGTATTCCCTGCTACTATTGGAGGTGTCTGAATCTCTCTCCCCACTAAATGCATGCCTGCCTTCAAGACAGTGAACCATGGACAACCTGCTTTACTAAGGAAAACAAAGGACTGTATAAAGTCTCAGTGTCTGTCTGTCTGCCTGCCTGTCTGTCATATCATGGCTGTCTGAAACTTGGCTGAGAAGTGAGTGTTCACATGTCTCTTCTTGGGTCAAAGAGCTACACCTTCTCTAATAATGGTTGGAATGTAAGGAGGGACTTCAACTCTGACCTTGCCTGAAATGTAGAAATAAATCAAAAAGAAAATATGTCAGAAAAACAGAAACAAAAATATTACTTACTTCCATTTCAAATAACTGCCACTCTGCTCTGACTGAGTTATTATTTTTGGTTGCAATGGTAAACTTGGACCATGTCCATCCCTGTCCTTACTTCAGTGTTAGGGCTGGCCAGCCGGTTGGCCACGTGGCATGTAGAGTCTTGTTGTTTGGCTGTGTGAGTAATGGGTGGTCTGGTCTGTCCACACTGTGCTGTGGGCGCGGCCCTCCATCTCCCTCTCTCTCTCCCTCCCTCTCTCTCCCTCTTAATCTCCATCTCCCACTCCTTCTCCCTCTCTCTCTCTCTCTCTCTCGCTCTCCCCCTCTCTCTCCCTCTCCCCCTCTCTCCCTCTTCCTCTCTGTCAACTTCTCCCTCCCAACAGCTGAGGATTGTCTCAGAGTTCACCAGAGGTGAAAGTGTGTTTGAGTGCAAATCAATTAACGTTTAAGGGCAGGGACAACACACTGAACCCATCCTTTTATAAATAAGCATTGTGATTTGTGAACAAGCATAAAGCAAGTCAGTGTCTACTTTATGAAACCTGGGGTTGGGTTGGCTTAGCTATGCTTACGTCTACGGCTATGTCTTGTGTGCCACTGGGTTTACATTAATCTATGCCAAGGCTCCCATACCTCCTTGTGATACACATTTTATTATATGGCACCTATGCCACCATAGACAAACAAATTGCCTATAGCTCACTGATGACTAATTGAAGATGCTGTTCAGCATTATAGACTGGATTAGACTGCTTATGTGGTGCATTCAATTCTATTCCCATTTTCAAACTATTGCAATGGTTCAATGCATCAAAATAATCCTCATTCTGCATGCAAATTACACAGTCATTCTAATTGCACAGATGCATGCATATTTGCAAACCATTAAAGGTCAAATAGGGGGTGCTTAAATGTATCCTGTTTCACTGCATGTACGAGTGGGAAACCTGTACAAGTGTGAGGTGGGGTCATGGGCAGGAATCAACCATTATTGACGGAAACCCTGGAGCAATTAAGGTTAAGAGGATTGGGGATTCAAACTAGCAACTTTTCGGTTACTGCCCCAATACCTTTGCAATAAGCTAACTTCCATCCCATGCTAATCGCAAGGTGTCAGAGAGAGAGCACCCCCATGTTGACGGAATAAATAAAGCTAAACTTTACCTGCTTGGTGAACAGGATGGCTGTATCCCAATACTCTGGATGCTTGTCGTTATTCTTATTCATCTTTTTTTGCCAAGTGCAGAAGTTACGCAGCGTCATTGCTGCATTGCCGGAGACCTTGGGTCCTTTGTCGTCATCAGTTAGCACAATGAACTTCACAACTACAATGTTGATGGAGTTGAGAATACTGGGGTGTTTGTAGAGCCTAGCTGCCACAGACATGAGGGTCAAGAGGTAATGTTTAAGGTCATCTCCATGGAAACTAGCCATGGACTCATCGGCAACGACCAGCGTCTCCACGTATCTGGGGATGGAGGCGAATCTCTTGGATCTACCTTTGATACCTTTCAACATTGTTTCAGTCACATTGTGCCCTTTGTATAAGTGCTTGTATTTCTCCAAAGACGCGGCGACCTCGGGACTCAGACCCGTGTCCACCGCGCACCTGGAGGTCGAGTTACCATTGAGGTTATCGTTGCTACGGCGCCGGATAACATGGACGCTCTCGGCGCTCCTGGTATTTCCTGAAGTGGTGTCATTGTGGACAGGGTTGATGAAATATTCCCAGCCTCTGAAACCGAATGCGCCTTGCAAGCCCTTGCACAGACTCAGCGCTGCGTATGAAAGCCGGTCTGAGTTGACATAACCAGAGTAAAAACACCTGCTCAGGTCCCCGCTTGCAGCTGGACTGGAGGCAGAGATGGTGGGGGCAAGGAAATTAGAATCTGGATGTAAATCAAGCACTAGCTCCTGCTGGAAGGCGCTTATTTTAAGAACAATTCTCCTCGTAAGAATATCCTTGCCGTTGTCAAAAACATTCTTCTCATATTGTTGGTCATCAAGTCTAATAGGGTAGCAAAGTTCACGTTCACTCTCCATGCAATTAACGGATCTGGAGTGTAGAATCACAAAACAATAGAGCAATATTGTCCTTATGAACATGACCATGATTGATTTTATTGACTAACCTAATGCAATGATCAGGAATTGAAATTAACAACTGAAGTAGCCTGCACGAGCCGTACGCAGTGGTAATCAGTGATCGATACAACAGAGAATAATCCAAGGCGCGCATGGAAGGTTATTCTAAAACATTGCCGCTACAAGTCCGCTCAGTGCAAAATCCTTCAATATCTGACCCGTTCCCATCTTCTACCTGTCTGCTGAGCCGATTGCTGCCTTCTGTGGACTTTATGCTTTTGCGTCATGTGTAGCCTAAACATTGAGAAATTGCAATCCGTTTTTGGGTCGTAACTAGTTACCACAGCCACAAAGTCATAATTATGGTTTAACCCCGCCTATCTCTACATTTATCTTAAAATCTGATTTTAAACCTAACCCTAAACTTAGCCCTAACCTTAACCATACTGCTAACCTCATGCCTAAGCATAACCTTAAATTAAGACCATAAAGCTAATTTGTATTTTAATTAATTTTTACAATATAGCCAATTTTGACTTTGTGGCTGTGGTAACTAGTGACAACAGAGTTTTGGGGGAGGCGCTCGGGAAAGCTCATTGGTTATGCGTCTCAGTTCAAGGTTTACTCTGCGACCACTTGAAACTCTGTACTGTATTACCATCACCAATTCGGCGCCGCACAAGAAAAACCGGGTTTCCACCCACTTTCCCCTCGAGCTGGGGCTGTGCTGTGCTGTGCTATGCAGCGCATGGCAAGCAGCCTGCCTCCACAGCACATCTGTATCCAACGCAACATCCAAAGCAAAGTAGCGCAGCACCAAATGAGTGATATATTTTGGATATGTTTACTGCCCAGTGCCTATATTCTACAACATGTAATTTTATAACATGGCTTCGTGAATTAGTAAGATCTATCTAGGCTATGCTCCAACACCCACTGATAATACAAATATGATCATCTTATCGGCAGACGAGCTCAGAGACAAACATCAGTGTCCGTGGATGGTGTGCGTAATTGTAATCTTGTGCTTAATTGACACATTCTTCTTAGGGTTTATAATTAACTGAAACTAGTGGGCTGCATGCCTATGCACTGTAGTATAACTGAGGCTGTGAGACAGTGTGTAGGTGCTATATCTGATTATAAAGTAATCATGCTATCACAATCATCATACTCATCATCATCAGATCAGTGGGGAAAAGTCCATTCAAGTTCAACACGAGTTTATAGCCTACAATGTAACACCATAGCCTACTGTTACCATGGAACAGTGAAAATAATAATACAACATAACCTTAACAAAGTGAAACAATGTGATGTGGTGGGTACTTTCACTTAACGTTTGTGCTCTATCAAGATTGTGCAAAACTCATTCAATTTAATTGAGATTGATGCCTGACGGTGTCCAGCCAGTCCTCGTTTTAGATACAATATTCTGGAGGCTGATACACGTGCGACATCTTGTGGCTAATAGGCAGAATCATGTACACAACTTCCATACTGCATGTCTATGTGTCCCCTATTTGAAATAGGTATGGTCTAACAATACAAGACTGCATGTCTATGTGTCCCCTATTTGAAATAGGTATGGTCTAACAATACAAGACTAATCGAATCAATTGAATACAATTAGCTGCTATTATCCATTAACTATTACGTTTTAATTGTGTGCATCATTTGTTTGATTTCTTTCCATTTAAATGTTTTTTTTTGTAACATGCATGGGCTTCAGCTCCATCACTAGAATTGCCTACATTTGAATTGTGAAACAACACTGCCACATCGTGGTTAAAAGACGTATAATTTAATAATACTTTTGTTTTATCATTGGTCATTATGATAATTTAGCTGGCGCCTTCATAGAGACTTCGAGATAAAGTAGCCTATTGTAAATTGGCCAAAGTGGGAACAGAGAAATATGTAATAGACATCGAAGCATATTAAATGGCCCAAAGTCAATGTGATGCGATTGCATTTTTTTCATTGTAATTGTGGCATTTTTATTTAACTCCACATTTCAACCAAAGTGTGTTAGATGTAGGGGTGTTTTAACTTAATTGAATGTGTCTAACGAAAACACCATTATTACACTATTATTGTTGTTTAACGAATAGGCATATACCATTTTAACATTTTTACTACCAGGCTATGAATGATTAATTATGAATAACTGTCTATTTATTTATAGCCATAAACTGCCTACTGATCCTAAATAATGTGCACGTGTCGAGCTCAGTCAGTCACTGAGAATGAATAAGCAGCACAAGCACAGCCTACAACATAACTCCAGAGAAAGAAAAATGTGCTCAAGTCTTTCCTCTCTGTAACATTTCCGGCTTTATTATGTAATCTATGTAAGTGCTTCCTATGAGCTCGAATAAAATATTTGGTGGTAAACAGTCCAGTCACAGAGGTTCTAAATACTGTACTGTCTTTGGTCCAGTCTGGTCAGATTGAACGTGAAGATGAGACTCGAGCCTTAAGAGTGCGCATGCAGTTCTGGAAGAGATGTTATTATATTTTCAGACGTAGGCTGCAGTTTGCCGCTGAAATAGAGAGCTATGGAGTGAGTTGAGCCAACGGTTTACTGGTATTACTTCGACCTGACGCGGTCCAGGAACGTCCCAAGGATCCCGATTATGCTTTCCCGTCCAGAATATCTGTTGGAGCTATTGAAGAGTGGGCGTGCCAGTGTGGTCCCATTGGATCAATTTGATTTTAGTTGATGTTTTTTTTCTGTAAGCACGAGGGGGTGGGGAGAGCAGCAGCAAATGATATAAAAAAAATAAACCACATAGGCCTATGTTTTAGAAGAGCGAGGCTGTATAAATACCACAGTCACGAGCAGTCGCCGCTTATTCAGTCTGCTACAGGTCTCGAGCCCTGACTTCAACTAACTATAAAACGAATTATTTATTTTTAGTATAATCTACTGTTTTGCATCTGTTATAGATGTGTTGGTGGTTGTTTAATTTTTACGAATAAGATTTATAGCGCAATTTTACGTTGAGCACCCAAGACTGTATGGTACCTGTCATACGCGCTCTTCTTTATTCATTGCAATTTCTATATTAAGAAGAAAAAAAATCTTAACACACATTTACATCGTTTCTTTGATAGAAACGGTGCTTGTGGTAGTAATAAAATGGGTTCAACTTTGCATATCACTTTTTTAACCCTGTCCTTAACCAACGTTGTGCTGTCGGAATTGTTTCACTCGGAGGAGACCATACCCGTCAGAAACAGTGTGAAGACCATCGGTCGGCTATGGAAAAGGAGCGAGGAGGAACAGAGCTTCAGATTGACAGCTTTCGGCCAGGACTTCACACTGAATTTGACTCCGGATGACTCGTTTGTTGCTCCAACGTTAACCATTCAGCACATACAATCGAAACATCTGGCTGCGCTTTTCAACGGCACCAGATCAGGACATTTTACCGGTGGTATCACCAAGACAGAAGGGAATAGGGACGACCTTACCGGCTGCTTCTACTCAGGGAATGTGGACACCGACCAGGAATCTGTTGTCGTGGTGAGCCTGTGCCACGGGATGCAAGGGTCCTTCATAGCGCACGGGTATGAGTATCTAATTAAACCCAAAGTTCTTGGCCAAGGTAAAACAGAGAGATCACTCTTGCAGGTGCACGTTATAAAAAGGAGAGTTTTGACCGACGCACAAAAGACTTCCAAGACTTTCCAAGCTTTTGATCAGGTGAAGGATAAGAGCCGTCTGGCCACAGATGACGGCACTTCATCTCCTGTTGATGATGCTGAGAGAGCGACGGGACGGAAGCGACGGTTTGTCTCCTCTCCAAGATATATCGAGACGCTGGTCGTAGCAGACGCTTCAATGACACATTTCTATGGAGACGAAATAAAGGTGAGGGCATGAACTGACACAAATTGATAACCACAAATTGCATATATAATTAACTAAAATTATAAACCAATACACTAATATGTATATATTTTTTGGCATTGGCTGCAATGTGATGGGCACATGTCCAAACGCGTCATTACACACGAAGGGTTTCCAAAGCAGTTTAATTTTCCAGACAGAAATAAGCCCTGAAAGTCATTTATGGAACTGTCAGGGCAGCCCAGCCTGGTCTCATAGACAAGGCGTAAACATAGTAAACGTAAATCAGTGAAAACTAAATTAGTATATGTTACTTGGTATGGTTACATAAGATAGAAGGTTACTTAAGGCAAAAACAAAAGAAGGGTGGATGGACATATAACGCAAATGTCTAGCAACCTTTGTTCCAATCTCATCATGGACAACTTCAGCATTTTAGCTAATTAGCAACTTTGCAACTATTTGGTACTTTTTAGGTACTTTGCAACGACTAACCTTAACCCTTTTAGCTAATTCTAACCCTAACCTTAATCATTTAACCTAACTTCTAACCCTAACCTTAACCCTATCCCCTTGCCTAGCTAACATTAGCCAGCTGGCTAACATTAGCATTAGCCACCTAGCTAACGTTAGCAACAACTAAACGGAATTCGTAACATATCATACATTTTGCAAATTCATAACATATTGTACATTTTGCAAATTCATAACATATTTTATGAATTGCACATGTTACGAATTGTAATTCGTAACATATTGTATGAATTGCAATTCATAATATATCATAATATATCAATTGTAATCACAAGTTAATACCATACAAAATGTAACATATCATACTAAATTGCACATTGTGGTACTTGCACATCGTGGAATTACGTACAGAATAAAACGAAATGCTCTAAGACCAGGTTGGGCAGTGGGTTCGATTCCCACGGGGGCCAGTATGAAATAAAAAATAAAATAAAAATTAATAAAAAAATAAAAAATAAAAAAAAAAATGAATGCACTCACAAACTGTAAGTCGCTCTGGATAAGAGCGTCTGCTAAATGACTAAAATGTAAATGTAAATGTAATGACTCATGAGAGGAGTGTGTATGACTGTGCAATTCCAATATCATCCCACATTCTCACAACCATGACAGGCAGTGCTTGTCGGAAATGCCAATTCTCTTGAAAAACTCCCCAATGGCCATGTGGCTATATTGAAAGTAAGAAAAATGATTCCCGCAAATGCAATGATCAAAATGAGTTATTCATTATCATGCCAAGCCGGGGAACAAATGTGCTTTTACTTTCTAGTAGGTCTACAATAGGCCTAATTAGTCTGCAAGTCCCCAAAAGCATCCCCTCTGTCAATAATTGAAAGAGCATTGTTTCAAAATGTTAGGCATTTTAATTGGTATTTTGGCTTGGGTCAAGTTCCCCACTGGGCACAAACTGGTTGAATCAATGTTCTTTCAACGTAATTTGCCAATGTGTTGTGATGTGGGTGGTCCTTTGTAGCTCAATTGGTAGCGCATGGCGCTTGTAACGCCAGGGTAGTGGGTTCGATCCCCGGGACCACCCATACGTAAAAATGTATGCACGCATGACTGTAAGTTGCTTTGGATAAAAGCGTCTGCTAAATGGCATATTATTATGTGGAATCTATGTAGAAAACACATTTGATTTGAAAAAAGTCATCAACTGTTGTTATGAGGGTGAAATTTCAACCACAGGATTATGTCATCATGGTAACCAAATTTCAACATAGACAAACCTTGTATAAAATATGTTGCATTCTTACCTTTAAAACAATGTCAGATCTTCAACTTATATCCACTATCAAAAGGAAAAAAAAGTGCAGCACCTCCTACTGGAGAGTTGATATATCTAAAGCTACCCTTTGGTCTACCATCCAGGGATTGAACCAAGCCCTGCTTAGCTGTTATATTTGTCACTGACTATTACCAGTATGCTATCGTAAGAATGCTTGTTGAGTGATCTCCACTTAAAAACTAAATAGATTCACTATTGCTATCAAAATAATTCCAGAGGGTATAGGTTTAACATAGCAATTAAATGTGACCATACTTTATCACTCATATATTATCAATTATGCTATTTAGGCCTAAATAGCATTTGCAAAGTCATAAACAGCTACCAAGTGGCGCAGTGGTCTAAGGCACTGCATCGCAGTGCTAGAGGCATCACTACAGACCTAGGTTTGGTCCCGGGCTGTATCACAACCGGCCGTGATCAGGAGTCCCATAGGGTGGCGCACAATTGGCCCAGCGTCATCCGGGTTAGGGGAGGGTTTGGTCGGGGTAGGCTGTCATTGTAAATAAGAAATGTTTTCTTAACTGACTTGCCTAGTTAAATAAAGGTTCAAATAAAATACTGTGTCAATTCAACCCAGAATTCAAATAAAAATAGACTTAATAGTCCCAGTTGGTATTAAATAGAACGTTGTGGCCCCACCCGCCTGTGGGGAAAACAACCCCTGGTTATCCCATTGGCTCACATCAAAAACTAGACCTTTTTTAAATGAAATGTTCTTGTCTGCTTGTTTTAGTCAATTACAAAATTACATTTAAGAAAAGTACAACATGTCTAAAGATTACTTTTCAACATTGCCTGCTCCTGAGCATTCTCACTACTTAGAAAAACTTAATATTGTAGGGCTTCCCTCATGCCCCTTTTCATGACGAGTGAGTGCTAACTAGCTACCAGAACATTAAGCTAGCCAAGACCAACAACACAAACAAACTGACTATAAAGCTACAAGTAGTGAGTGGACTTACAAACAGACTATACTAAATGAGTTAAATGTCTTACCTGTGATTAAATGTTTCCCACACACATAGCTACGTGTAGCCTACTTGGACACCGGGTCCCCACATTTCCCACTCTCCCACGCCGAATAGCCTGAAACCACAGGGCTCTTAACGAAGGCTATATTTCCCTACGTGGGAGCATTGCAAACCGTAGGTCGGGATTTTTTTTACCTAGTTACACATACACTGAACAACAGCAGCTTTTCTGCATGTTTTGTTATTTCTGTATCACAAAAAATCAACGACGAAGTTGGCTCTTTTACAATGGGGTCAATGGGAACAAATGTTTGTTTTTCCCCAATTTATGGGCGTGGTCAAGGGGAAATCCTGCTTATGACATGAATACCGACTCGGAGTATAGGCCTAGGGTATCAAGCTCTGATCGATTTGAAATGTAATTATATTTAGTGATATTGAATTGTGTTTGGTTGTCAACGCAACCAAAGATCAACATTTGAAGGAGATGCATCTTCTGCTTGGATAGTTAATTCCAGTAAGTCTACAAATTAATAATTGATATGTTGGATTCATGTCTGCATCTCAACGCACAATCTAAGTAAAAAAAAATAGGACTAAATCAAATAAAACTTTATTGAATGTCCATTTCAAATGTGATTTTATTTAGTCCTATTCTTTAACTTAGATTTTCGGTTGAGATGGAGATGTGAATCCAACATATCAATTAATAATTTGTAGACAAACTGGAATTAAACCCAGACTAAGTCAGTGGCACAGATGGAACTATCCAAACAGAAGATAAATCTCTTTCAAATGTTGATATTTGGTTGCGTTGACAACCAAACACAATTCCATATAACTTTTGAAACACAATAAATAGCCAATCAACTTGTCGCCATGTTAACAAACTATATATTGGATTCACGTCTCCAACTCAACCAAAAATAAAATATTATATAAATAAATACAGTATATCAACACCCACCCGTAGTATGTGCTCCAGCAGGTATATCTCACTGGTCATCCCCAAAGCCAACACCTCCTTTGGCCGCCATTCCTTCCAGTTCTCTGCTGCCAATGACTGGAACAAATAGCAAAAATCTCTGAAGCTGGAGACACTTATCTCCCTCACTCAGTTGTCAGAGCACCTTACCGATCACTGCACCTGTACACAGCCCATCTGAAATTAGCCCACCCAACTACCTCATCCCTATATTGTTATTTATTTTGCTCATTTGCACCACAGTATCTCTATTTGCACATCATCTCTTGCACATCTATCATTCCAGTGTTAATATTAATTGTAATTATTTTGCACTATAGCCTATTTATTGCCTTACCTCCATAACTTGCTACATTTGCACACACTGTATATATATTTTCTGTTGTATTTTTGACTTTATGTTTTGTTTTACCCCATATGTAACTCTGTGTTGTTGTTTTTATCGCACTGCTTTGCTTTATCTTTGCCAGGTCGTAGTTGTAAATGAGAACTTGTTCTCAACTGGCTTACCTGTTTAAATAAAGGTGAAAAATAAAAAATAAAAGAAATGTAAAAAAAATATCAATATTACTTTTCGTCGCTGTCCGATGAAAACCTCTTATCTCCTAAACAGAAACTTTTCAGGAAATTGAAAAAAATTACCACATTTTCCCATTAACGAACATACAGTTATGAAACTTCAGAAGCTATTTTGAATATATTTTCTTGGTCCTAGAGCCATGAAATGTTCAGAGTACATTGAGGGAAGTTACTGCTTTCAATTTAAAAAAAGAAAATACTATTAGCAAGAAGTTTGTTTAAAGGTTTTCATCAGACAACAACGTTTTGTAATACAGTAAATAGGCTACAGTAAATAGGCTATCTTACAAACTGATGTAACATTCAACCTTAAAATGAGTAACACATCCATGGCCACATTTTGAGGTTACTGTTATTATACATTTCTTATTATGTAATAATATAAAGCGTGCATGTTCAAGAGAGCATGCATAGGTCATCGCAGATCTGTGGAGATCTTCACAATTGCTGTAATAATCTGCGCAGAATCTCGAACGGCATTGATCACTTGCACCATGTACTTTTAATGTAATCTCAACTGCAATCCAGGTCATTTGGTTCTGTTATTAGATTAAGCAAAGTGATAACACATTAATCTGTTGTATAAATAACCAAAATATCTGACGTATTAAAATGTGAACTTTACTGTGCTTTTAAATGGTTGAAAGCGCAGTGATAGACATTTGAGTGACAACTAAACCAAATATCTGACATCGTTGTTAATAAGAATAGAATATGCTTCCAAACACTTCTACATAAATGTGGATGCTACTCTGATTACAGATAATCCTGAAAGAATCGTGAATAATAATGAGTGAGAAAGTTACAGACGCACACATATCATACCCCACAAGCAATGCTAACCTCCCTTGTTATTGTAATGGTGAGAGGTTAGCATGTCTTGGGGGTATGATATTTGTGCGTCTGTAACTTTCTCACTCATCATTATTCACACTTTCATTGAGGATTATCCGTAATCATGGTAGCATCCACATTTAATGTAGAAGTGTTTAGAAACATATTCTATTCTTATTTAAAATACAAGCGACTCCACAATGACCCAATACATTATTTACCAATAATTTCTATTGGGCACAAAGTAATCTGAAACCAACAGCAAATGCATCCAACAAATGTGTAGAGTCACAAGCTTGATGTAGTCATTGCGTGCTATGAATATGGGATCAAATACTTACGTTTTTACTACTTTAATACAAATATAAGTGAATTTGGCCCAATACTTTTGGTCCCCTAAAATGGGGGGACTACAGTGCCTTGCAAAAGTATTCATCCCCTTTGGCGTTTTTCCTATTTTGTTGCATTACAACCTGTAATTTAAATTGATTTTTATTTGGATTTCATGTAATGGACATACACAAAATAGTCCAAATTGGTGAAGTGAAATTTAAAAAATAACTTGTTAAAAAAAATTCTAAAAAATAAATAACGGAAAAGTGGTGCGTGCATATGTATTCACCCCCTTTGCTATGAAGCCCCTAAATAAGATATGGTGCAACCAATTACCTTCAGAAGTCACATAATTAGTTAAATAAAGTCCACCTGTGTGCAATCTAAGTGTCACATGATCTGTCACATGATCTCAGTATATACACACCTGTTCTGAAAGGCCCCAGAGTCTGCAACACCAGTAAGCAAGGGGCACCACCAAGCAAGCGGCACCATGAAGACCAAGGAGCTCTCCAAACAGGTCAGGGACAAAGTTGTGGAGAAGTACAGATCAGGGTTGGGTTATAAAAAACATATCTGAAACTTTGAACACCCACGGAGCACCATTAAATCCATTATTTAAAAATAGAAAGAATATGGCACCACAACAAACCTGCCAAGAGAGGGCCGCCCACCAAAACTCACGGACCAAGCAAGGCGGGCATTAATCAGAGAGGCAACAAAGAGACCAAAGATAACCCTGGGGACCACTTTAAGTCGTACACTCCACAGAGCTGGGCTTTACGGAAGAGTGGCCAGAAAAAAGCCATTGCTTAAAGAAAAAAATAAGCAAACACGTTTGGTGTTCGCCAAAAGGCATGTGGGAGACTCCCCAAACATATGGAAGAAGGTACTCAGGGTCAGATGAGACTAAATGGAGCTTTTTGGCCATAAAGGAAAACGCTATGTCTGGCGCAAACCCAACACCTCTCATCACCCCGAGAACACCATCCCCACAGTGAAGCATGGTGGTGGCAGCATCATGCTGTCGGGATGTTTTTCATCGGCAGGGACTGGGAAACTGGTCAGAATTGAAGGAATGATGGATGGCGCTAAATACAGGGAAATTCTTGAGGGAAACCTGTTTCAGTCTTCCAGAGATTTGAGACTGGGACGGAGGTTCACCTTCCAGCAGGACAATGACCCTAAGCATACTGCTAAAGCAACACTTGAGTGGTTTAAGGGGAAACATTTAAATGTCTTGGAATGGCCTAGTCAAAGCCCATACCTCAATCCAATTGAGAATCTGTGGTATGACTTAAAGATTGCTGTTTACCAGCGGAACCCATCCAACTTGAAGGAGCTGGAGCAGTTTTGCCTTGAAGAATGGGCAAAAATCCCAGTGGCTAGATGTGCCAAACTTATCGAGACATACCCCAAGAGACTTGCAGCTGTAATTGCTGCAAAAGGTGGCTCTACAAAGTATTGACTTTGGGGGGGTGAATAGTTATGCACGCTCAAGTTTTCAGTTTTTTTGTCTTATTTCTTGTTTGTTTCACAAGAAAACATATTTTGCATCTTCAATGTGGTAGGCATATTTTGTAAATCAAATGATACAAACCCCCCAAAAAACAATTTTAATTCCAGGTTGTAAGGCAACAAAATAGGAAAAACGCCAAGGGGGGTGAATACTTTTACAAGCCACTGTATGTACAAAAAGTGTTGTAATTTCTAAAGGTTCACCCGATATGGATGAAAATATCCTCCAATTAAAGCTGACAGTCTGTACTCATAGTCATTTTATAATTTCAAATCCAAAGTGCTGGAGTACAGAGCCAAAACAACAACAAAAATTGTCACTGTCCCAATACTCTTGGAGCTCATTTTATATCTCTGTCAATACCTACTAACCTCAGAAAAGATGGAGACATTCTGGTCTTAATATATCGTGTGATGTTATACAATCTGACTAAGTTTGTGTCCATATGAAACGTTAAATAAAAATGTTGGCACAGGGTCTTGTGTTTGAGTTTAAACCATCTGGGAATGAGAGCAAGCCAAGAGGTTTGTTTTTGTGGCCCTTCCTCCCATTTTATTGATGGAAATAAAAACACAAATGTTTAAACATTTGATTCCAATTGGCTTATGGATTTGGGTCCCTTCTCTGACTGCCTGCAAAGTGCTTGTTGTCAGATCTCTTTGCAATTAATTAAGCAGTGAAATTAATCCAGGATTAAAGTATTATTGACAACAACTAGGTAGTGTACAATTGATAGTGCCTTCCCAGCAAACCGGGAACATTTCCATAACATTAACCTAGATTCACAAGTTAAGTTCTAGTTAGGGTTTTATCTTACACTAAGAATATAACATACCAAAAACATTCAGAGAATTGTTTTGATAAAATTTATGTATTTATCATAAATGTTTTAAATGAAATATCCTTGGAATGTTCTAGCGTTCACTAAAATGTTGTGCACAACATCTGTAACAACCACCACAGAACATTCCCCAAACGTTTGTATGTTTGTATAAAACATTGGCCTGATGTTGCAACAATGTTCCTATAACACATTTTATCTGTTCTTTAAAGGTTCCCAGAATTATTTAGGCCTCCTGTAGCTCAGTTGTTAGAGCATGGCGCTTGCAACGCCAGGGTTGTGGGTTCGATTCCCACGGGGGGGGCAGTATGAAAAATGTATGCACTCACTAACTGTAAGTCACTCTGGATAAGAGCATCTGCTAAATGACTAAAATGTAATGTTTCATTGGCTTGTGGGAACATTGTTTGGAACAAAAGATAAGTTCCCAAACTGTGCAGATGATTCTACAATGTTTTTGGGTGCAAAAAACATTCACCTGATGTTACAAGAACGTTCCCACAACACATTCCATCTGTTCTTTAATGATTCCCACAAATGTCATTAGGTTGTGGGTACATTACAAAACACAAAATATGCTCAGTTGTGATGACATTCAAACAATGTTTAAGTTAGGTTGCACAGGACATTCCCTTAATGTTGTAAGAATGAAATGTCCGTTTTTATGAAGTTCATAGCATATTTGTTTTAGGTTTAACATAATATTCTATTGATGTTCACACAATATACATTTGACCTCATCTTGCAGGTCTTCAGAACATTCAAGAGCATTTAGAAAATGTTGTATTTAAGTTTGACCTAATATTACCACAACATTCTTATCATGCAAATTAAAGCATAAGAAAGCAGATTGGAATGCATCCACATTATGTTTCTCTCCAGATTTAATGGCAATTCACATTTGAGGACTGTATTGTAAGTGCATTCGGAAAGTATTTAGACCGCTTGACTTTTTCCACATTTTGTTACGTTACGTTTTTCTTCATCAATATACACACAATACCCCATAATGACAAAGTGAAAACAGGTTTATAGAAATTTTATCAAATGTATAAAAAATAAAAAGCAGAAATAGCTTATTTACATAAGTATTGAGAACCTTTGCTATGACACTCGAAATTGAGCTCAGGTGCATCCTGTTTCCATTGATCATCCTTGAGATGTATCTAAAACTTGATTGGAGTCCAACTGTGTTACATTCAATTGATTGGACATGATTTGGAAAGGCACACATCTGTCTATATAAGGTCCCACAGTTGACAGTGCATGTCAGAGGAAAAACCAAACCATGAGGATGAAGGAATTGTCCGTAGAGCTCCGATTGAGGATTGTGTAGAGGCACAGATCTGGGGAAGGGTACCAAAAAATGTGTGCCGCATTGAAGGTCCCCAAGAACACAGTGGCCTCCATCATTCTCAAATGGAAGAAGATTAGAACCACCAAGATTCTTCCTAGAGCTGGCCGCCCGGCCAAACTGAGCAATCGGAGGAGAAGGGCCTTGGTCAGGGAGGTGACCAAGAACCAGTTGGGCACTCTGACAGAGCTCCAGAGTTCCTCTGTGGAGATGGGAGAACCTTCCAGAAGGACAACCATCTTTGCAGCACTCCACCAATCAAGCCTTTATGGTAGAGTAGCCAGACGGAAGCCACTCCTCAGTAAAATGCACATGACAGCCCACTTGGAGTTTGCAAAAAGGTACCTATAGACTCGCAGACCATGAGAAACAAGATCCTCTGGTCTGATGAAACCAATGTTGAACTCTTTGGCCTGAATGCCAAGCGTCACATCTGGAGGAAACCTGGCACCATCCCTACGGTGAAGCATGGTGCTGGCAGCATCATGCTGTGGTTATGTTTTTTAGCGGCAGGGACTGGGAGACTAGTCAGGATTGAGGGAAAGATGAACGGAGCAAAGTACAGAGACATCCTTGATGAAAACCTGCTCCAGAGCGCTCAGGACCTCAGACTGAGGTGAAAGTTCACCTTCCAACAGGACAATGACCCTGAGCACACAGCCAAGACAACGCAAGTCTCTGAATGTCCTTGAGTGGCCTAGCCAGAGCCCGGACTTGAACCCGATCAAACATCTCTGGAGAGACCTGAAAATAGCTGTGCAACGACGCTCCCCATCCAACCTGATAGAGCTTGAGAGGATCAGCAGAGAAGAATGGGAGAAACTCCCCAAATATAGGTGTGCCAAGCTTGTAGCGTCATACCAAAGAAGAATTGAGGCTGTAATAGCTGCAAAAGGGTGCTTCGACAAAGTACTGAGTAAAGGGTCTGAATACTTATGTAAATGTAATATTTCCGTTTTTATTTTTAATAAATGTGCAAAAATGTCTACAAACCTGTTTTTGCTTCGTCATTATGGGGTATTGGGTGTAGATTGATGAGGGGGGGGGGACAATTTAATCCATTTTAGAATAAGTCTGTAACGTAACAAAATGTGGAAAAAGTCAAGGAGTCTGAATACTTTCCTAATGCGGTGTAGAGACACAGGACAGTTTTATTTCATTCATAGGAGATTTGAAAAGCATTTATTCATTAAAAAAATTACAATTTTTTTCATTCAGTGCCTTTTCATACAACACTTCATACAGTGCCTTCAGAAACGACATTATTATGTATTCATACCCCTTGACCTTTTCAACATTTGTTGTGTAACAGCCTGAATTAAAAATTGATTATATTATTTTCTCACCCATCTCCACACGATACCCTCTTTGGTCTTTGTGGTAGAATCTGTGTTTGAAATTCACTGCTTTACTGAAGGACCTTACAGATAATTGTATGTGTGGGGGTACAGAGATGAGGCAGTCATTCAAAAATCATGTTAACCACTATTATTGCACACAGAGTGAGTCCGGGCAACTTCTGTGACTTGGTAAGCACATTTTTACTCCCTAACTTATTTAGGCTTGCCATAACAAAGAGTTTGAATACTTATTGACTCAATACATTTCAGCTTTTCATTTTTTATAAATTTGTAAATATGTCCAAAAACATAATCTCATTTTGACATTACAGGGTATTGTGTGTAGGCCAGTGACAAAAAAATCTCAATGTAATCCATTTTAAATTCAGGCTTTAACACAACAAAATTTGGATCAAGTCAATGGGTTTGAATACTCTCTGAAGGCACGGTACAGTATTTTGCCAATCTGCACATGTGAGGTCTGAACCTGCTAGGTCTGGTTCCCAAGACCGGCCTTTTATCCTCTGCACTACCACTGAAGCGCCCTTGTATTGTATTTTTTCAGTATATAGCCATGGCAGTATCCATGTATCCCGTAATCAGGAATTCCATGAATACTTTTTAGCCTTCTTGGACATAACTAACCTAGGGAAATACTGATAACTGTGTTATTCACCATCACTTCACCCATCCTCTTTATATGCTGCGTACTTCTGGGCCCATACAGTATTTACACGGTATCCAAGACTATGAGTGCTGATCTAGGATCACTTTTGCTTTTCAGATTATGAAAAATAAGACGGGGGGGACCATATCAAGCATCTCAAAGTAGGAATTATATTGGGTGCGTTGAACAGTCAATTTTTGCACAATGTTTTATTTTTTACAGTTAGTCTAAATTCAGAAATCTGGATGAAATAAAGACATCCTCTGAGCCTCAATGTAACTTTCTTTAAAAAAAGATACATGGTTACCGAATATGTGGGGTTGAATCAGCAATCTTCAGCCAGATAAATAACCTGCGCCATCAGGGGATAGCTGTGACCTTGTGTGTTTAAAAAAATTATCAAATATGGTAAATCAGGACACAAAACACAATTTCTTAAGATATTCAAATGTTCCCATCCTCTTCATATGCTGTGATTTTAGTTGGATAGAGCTTCCTTTAAATAACTAGTATTCTTGTGTATTCATATGCTTCTTAAATACGGACTCAGAACATTCAAATGAAATGAGATTTTTTGTTACCTTTCTTAATTTCAAAATCACATTTCATAAGACTTTCAACACGTGATGTAGAAAGCAAATCATTAAATACAGTGTTACAAGGACACCGCATATGAAGAGGATGGGAACATTTGAACGTGATCTGTGTCCTGATTGACCATATTCGACTGAAAAAAGACACAGGGGTACAACTATCCCCTGGTGGCGCAGAGGGTTAATTATCTGGCTAGGAAACCAAACATTGAAGGTTCAAACCCCACATGTGCAGATTGTCAACATATGAAGAGTAATAAATATAGTTGTGTTTGTATGATTAAACGCTGTTCAAATGTCCTGTAAGTTAAATTAAAATTCCATGTGTTTCTATATCACCTAGTCCTCAAATGTGATTTGCCATTACATCTGGAGAGAAACCTAATGGGAATGTTTTCCAATATGCTTTAAGGAGCTACAAATTTGCATGCTGAGAATGTTTTATTAATGTTAGGTAAAACTTAAATATAACTTTTTCTAAATGTTCTTGAAATGTTCTGAGGACCTCAAAGACAAGGTACAATGTCTATGATCAAATAAAATAAAATTGTATTTGTCACATGCACCGAATACAACAGGTGTAGACCTTACAGTGAAATGCTTACTTACAAGCCCTTAACCAACAATGCAGTTTTAAGAAAGAATTCCAAAACAAATCACAAAAAAAACAATATAAAATAATACGATATAAAAGTAACAAATAATTAAAGAGCAGCAGTAAAAATAACAATAGCGAGGCTATGTACAGGGGGTACCGGTACCGAGTCAATGTGCGGGGGCACCGGTTAGTCGAGGTAATTTAGGTAATATGTAGGTAGAGTTATTAAAGTGACTATGCATAGATAATAAACAGAGAGTAGCAGCAGCGTAATAGGGGGGAGGGGATGGAGATAGTCTGGGTAGCCATTTGATTAGATGTTCAGGAGTCTTATGGCTTGGGGGTAGAAGCTGTTTAGAAGCCTCTTGGATGCTTGCTGTGCGGTAGCAGAGAGAACAGTCTATGACTAGGGTGGCTTGAGTCTTTGAACATTTTTAGGGCCTTCCTCTGTTATGTGAACATCAATGGAATATTATATTAAACTTAAAACAAATATGCTATGAAAGTCATAAAAACTGACTTACAGTGAGGGAAAAAAGTATTTGATCCCCTGCTGATTTTGTATGTTTGCCCACTGACAAAGACATGATCAGTCTATCATTTTAATGGTAGGTTTATTTGAACAGTGAGAGACAGAATAACAACAAAAAAATCCAGAAAAACGCATGTCAAAAATGTTATAAATTGATTTGCATTTTAATGAGGGAAATAAGTATTTGACCCCTCTGCAAAACATGACTTAGTACTTGGTGGCAAAACCCTTGTTGGTAATCACAGAGGTCAGACGTTTCTTGTAGTTGGCCACCAGGTTTGCACACATCTCAGGAGGGATTTTGTCCCACTCCTCTTTGCAGATCTTCTCCAAGTCATTAAGGTTTCGAGGCTGACGTTTGGCAACTCGAACCTTCAGCTCCCTCCACAGATTTTCTATGGGATTAAGGTCTGGAGACTGGCTAGGCCACTCCAGGACCTTAATGTGCTTCTTCTTGAGCCACTCCTTTGTTGCCTTGGCCGTGTGTTTTGGGTAATTGTCATGCTGGAATACCCATCCAAGACCCATTTTCAATGCCCTGGCTGAAGGAAGGAGGTTCTCACCCAAGATTTGACGGTACATGGCCCCGTCCATCGTCCCTTTGATGCGGTGAAGTTGTCCTGTCCCCTTAGCAGAAAAACACCCCCAAACCATAATGTTTCCACCTCCATGTTTGACGGTGGGGATGGTGTTCTTGGGGTCATAGGCAGCATTCCTCCTCCTCCAAACACAGCGAGTTGAGTTGATGCCAAAGAGCTTGATTTTGTTCTCATCTGACCACAACACTTTCACCCAGTTCTCCTCTGAATCATTCAGATGTTCATTGGCAAACTTCAGACGGGCCTGTATATGTGCTTTCCTGAGCAGGGGGACCTTGCGGGCACTGCAGGATTTCAGTCCTTCACAGCATAGTGTGTTACCAATTGTTTTCTTGGTGACTATGGTCCCAGCTGCCTTGAGATCATTGACAAGATCCTCCTGTGTAGTTCTGGGCTGATTCCTCACCATTCTCATGTTCATTGCAACTCCACGAGGTGAGATCTTGCATGGCGCCCCAGGCCGAGGGAGATTGACAGTTCTTTTGTGTTTCTTCCATTTGCGAATAATCGCACCAACTGTTGTCACCTTCTCACCGAGCTGCTTGGTGATGGTCTTGTAGCCCATTCCAGCCTTGTGTAGGTCTATAATCTTGTCCCTGATATCCTTGGAGAGCTCTTTGGTCTTGGCCATGGTGGAGAGTTTGGAATCTGATTGATTGATTGCTTCTGTGGACAGGTGTCTTTTATACAGGTAACAAACTGAGATTAGGAGCACTCCCTTTAATAGTGTGCTCCTAATCTCAGCTCGTTACCTGTATAAAAGACACCTGGGAGCCAGAAATCTTTCTGATTGAGAGGGGGTCAAATACTTATTTCCCTCATTAAAATGCAAATCAATTTATAACATTTTTGACATGCGTTTTTCTGGATTTTGTTGTTGTTATTCTGTCTCTCAATGTTCAAATAAACCTACCATTAAAATTATAGACTGATCATTTCTTTGTCAGTGGGCAAACGTACAAAATCAGCAGGGGATCAAATAATTTTTTCCCTCACTGTATTTCATTCTCACAACAATAAGGGAATGTCCTGTGCAACATAACTTAAAAATGGTATGAATGTCATCACAACTGAGCATATTTTCTGTTTTGAGAACTTATCTCTTGTAATGTACCCACACAATGTTCTGGGAACCTTTAAAGAACTCAAAAAGTTTGTTCTGTCAACTTTCTTCCAACATCAAAGGAATATTTTGTGCACCCTGATACAAACATTATCTGAATGTCAGCACAACTGGACAGTTTTGGAGTTTTGGGAAACTACTGTATCTCTTGTCATATCCCCACAATGTTCCCACATCCTAAATACATATTTTAGGAACTTTTAAAGAACATACAAATGTGTTCTGGGAATGTTCTTGCAATACCAGGCAAATGTGTTTTGCAACCTAATAGAAACATTGTAATAATCAGCACAAATGGACAGTTTTTGTGTTTTGGGAATATATCTCTTGTCATGTCCACACAATGTTCCCACAACCTAATGAAACATTATTGGAACCTTTAAAGAACCAGATAAATGTGTTCTGAGAACGTTCTTGTAACATCAGGTGAGTGTTTTCTACACCTTAAAATAAACATTATAGAATCATCCGCACAACTGGACAGTTTTTGTGTTTTGTGAAAATATATTTTGTGATGTCACCACATTGTTCTCACCTTACTCTTCCCACAACCTAATGAAACATTATGGGAACCTTTAAAGAACAGATGAAATGTGTTCTAGGAATGTTCTTGCAACATCAGGTGAATGGTATGGTATAATCATCACCATGACTGGACAGTTTTTGTGTTATGAGAACATTTGCCGCGACCTAACGAATGTCCTGGGAACCTTCACAGAACCACTTTTGGTTTGCTGGGTTTGTACTGTATGTCCATAATATTCAGTAGATGTATTGAGTTGATGAGTTCATGTTGCCTTGCTCACCAAGTCATTGCAGAAAACGTTTTGCCTTTAGCTAAAAGTGAACTGTTAGTGAACTGTTGAATGTTACAGATCATTGGTCAGGTCATTGTTGACCATGCTTCCACATGTCCTTCCAATCACTCATTTGGTTAAAACATGGTGCTGGCAACACAAGGGTTCGATTCCCGCATGAGCCACACTTCCGTAATATATGTGTCACTGTCAATGCTGACAGTTCTACTAAAGGCATATCTCTCTCTTCCCTCTCCAGCATTACCTGCTGACTCTCATGGCAGTGGCGGCGCGGGTCTACCGCCACCCCAGTCTGAAGAACTCAGTGAGCCTGGTGGTTGTGAAGATGCTGGTGGTGGAGGACGAAGACGTAGGGCCCCAGGTGTCCAGCAACGGAGGAATGACCCTCAGGAACTTCTGTAACTGGCAGCAGCTCTTCAACCCCTCCAGCCAGAGGCACCTTGAACACTACGATACAGCCATCTTATTCACCAGACAGGTGAGAACTTAGAACACTAGACATTCCATCTCATTCACCCAGCACATTACGACACAGCTATCCAATTCACCAGACAGGTGAGAAGAACCCTATTACCCTTTTACACTCTTGTGCCGACCAAACTGTACTAGCTCAAATATTTTATTTTAACATTGTCCTTTTCAGCATGGTTCCAGCAACTATGGTGGATGTATAACCAGGCCGTGCTCAGTACAGCTTGGTTTGGCTCTGTTTAGTGTGAAAAGCAGGCACGTGCACAGATAGGGTGGCACGTGCACAGATAGGGCTCCACCTGTGTAGCACAGGAGGCTGCTGAGGGGAGAACAGCTCATAATAATGGCCGGAACGGCGCAAATAGAATGGCATCAAACACATGGAAACCATATGTTTGACGTATTTGATACCATTCCACCGATTCCGCTCTAGCCATTACCACGAGTCCGTCCTCCCCAATTAAGGTGCCACCAACCTCCTGTGTTGTGCAGAGCACATGCCCCTTTGCCCTTCCAGTCTCCAAAGTACCCTTCTGGATTGTGGTATAATTTCCCTGTCTGTAAGGGTGACTGATACTAGAGCTTCAATGGCCTTGTTAATACTGAATCCTCCTTCACTGTGTGCTTTGGATACCACACAGTTAAATTTCCTTTCTCCCCAAATCTGCTGGCTGCCATGTATTTGCTTCATTTTACGATGGAAACACTGACAAATATGTTTTGCTGGCAAGAGCTTCACTTTTAGGGGGAAAACCCCCTCTGTCTGGAACAAACGTAGCAATGTCTGGATATCAGTGTCTGAAATGTGTCCCTCCTCTTCCTACTCTCCCGACTCCCCTAGCCCTTTTCCTCTCCTCTCCTCTCCTCTCCTCTCCTCTCCTCTCCTCTCCTCTCCTCTCCTCTCCTCTCCTCTCCTCTCCTCTCCTCTCCTCTCCTCTCCTCTCCTCTCCTCTCCTCTCCTCTCCTCTCCCTCTACCCCATGTAGGATATCTATGGGCAGACGAGTTGTGACATCCCTACTCCTCTAGCCCTTTTTCTCTCATCTTGTCCTCTTTCCCGGTGTGATAAAGTCCTCATGCCCTCTCTCCCTGTACCCCCTATGTAGGACATCTGTGGTCAGAGGAGTTGTGACACCCTGGGGATGGCTGACGTGGGCACCATGTGTGACCCCAAGAGAAGCTGCTCTGTAATAGAGGATAACGGTCTGCAGGCGGCCTACACCGTGACACACGAGCTAGGTATGTTAATACGCTATGGAAATATGAGCTCGGTATGTTACAGTAACACACTATCGAACAAACTGCATACTTGTGTGTTTCCTATCTCACAAGGTATGAGACTTTAGTAAGGGCCAATGTGTATGGATGTCCATTACTCCACCTGAGTAACCCGTCATGGCTGTCCTGCTTTGCCTCTTGTTTGCATTCAGCTAATATCATAATTAGGTTCCTTGTAAACCACGAAATCATCCAACTAGCTTGAATGAGAATAAAGTTAGAAAAGTGCATGTTGTAAACCATACGTCAACTCTCAGCAGCATCTTCTCCTTTCTCTCCTCAGGTCATGTACTCAGCATGCCTCATGACGACTCTAATAACTGTATCAGATGGTTCGGACACCTGGACGGGCCCCACATGATGGCGTCTGTGTTCTTTAGCCTCAACAGGACCTTGCCATGGTCGCCATGTAGCGCCCGTTATGTCACAGAGTTCTTCGACAATGGATATGGTAGGATAACATACCCTTTCAAACCTTTATCCCAGTGCTTCCTTCTCTTTTTTCTATTTTATTCTCTCTAACCACTGTATCAAGTGTAGATGTATGATTCCCCGATGCACTACTTACTACACACAAACATCTTGTATTGACAGTTAGTTCTTATTGGTTCACATGTGGTTCCCAGCTTTCATTTGGTTTTGGTCATGAGGTAGCATTCCAGACAAACCGAACCCGAGTAAAAACAGTTTGCAGTTTCATTAAATTTGAATAACAGTTTTGAGACATTGGTCTTAAAGGGCCATAGGCTGTTATTATGCAGTTAATAGACACCTGCCACAGAGAGTGTGCTATGTAATTTAGGACTCAGAGAGTGGTGAGAAATCCCTCTATAATATGAACCCCTAACATTTCACAAGTTTATTTTCTTTCTCTCTCTTTTTACAAAGCCCACTCTGCCTAAACTCGCTCCATCAACCACAAATTATGGTCTCTGAAAACCACACTTTGTAATTTTGCTGAGAGTGTCCAAGCGAACAGTCCTTGGAGAGTAAGCTCCTCTCTGCAGTAAGAGCCTCTTCTCTTCACTTCTGTCTGCTCATGGCAGGGCAGAGACACAGACAGCACTGTAATAATTCAGATGACACACACACACAGCAGACATGCCTGAGATTGCTGGGAGAAGGCATCTCGAGATTGATGTTCCTGCTCCTAGAATGGAAGATAGCAAATCTAAGGCAAAGCAGATATTTGTGTTGCGAAATAGCATACATTTTTCTCAGTCAATGATTTATCCCCCATCGATATTTCAGTCTCCGCTTCAATTTCTCTATCAAATTCAAATTCAAATTCAAGCTGCTTTATTGGCTTGAAAAACATTGCGTCAATATTGCCAAAGCAACAATGTACACAATATACATTGTAATAAAATAATCTCTCTCTCTCTCTCTATCTCTCTCTCTCTCTCTCTCTCTCTGTTTCTCTGACTCATCTGCTGGTGAGTCACACATTCCAGCTTTAACAACTGTTTTCCCTCACAGAGAAGAGAAAGCGAGTGTAGCCAAGCACATTGTCTTTACTGGCCTTGCCACAGATATATAGTGAACTGATGTTGCAGAATTATCCTCTGTTAAAGGGGCCATACCACTAAAAAGATCTAACAAAATAGGATTAAGCAACATACTGTACCAGGGCAGAGAGGCAGTAACTCTTCTGTCCGACATGCCAGGAGTTAAAGTATATTGTTGTGCATAGAGTTTATGAAGAAAAGCTGCTTCAAAAGTCGAAAGTTAAATGTAAAGTTTGGCAATAATCTACAACCATTTCTATCACCGATTCAGCCTCTGGATAGGATGTTACCTTCTGGCAACAAAATCTTTAGCGGCAAATAATGTATCTTCCCCTAAACACATCTTTCAGTGAAATGTATTTGGCCATTCCATTCTGCTATGAAAATAGCCCCCTCAAGCTAAAATGGTTGTACACCTGTTTTTTTGTTTTGTTTTTTTAAAACTTAACAGTCAAATTTCACGTGCTTCAGGCAGACTGGCACCCAGTTGCAGTTGTCGTTTCCTGGTGATTGATAGAAGAGGAACGTGTGTTCCCACCTTTATCAGAGCTTTAGCCCCCCTAGGGCTTCCTAACACCTTCAGTATAATAGAGTACTGTATGTACAGCTCTCCCAAATGTCAGTCAATGACTAACACGTCCTCCAGATCTTATTGACATTTTGTCACCCCTGAGTTCACTGGAATTTTTACGACTGTTGATGTGTCTGTGTCTGTTTGTTTATGTAGCTAGACCATTGTTGTAAATAATAATGGATTCTCAACTGATCTAAAAAGGCCTTTATAAATCAATTTGATTGACTTATCTGTGCCTGTTTATGTTCCTCTCTCCCAGGTGACTGTCTGTTGGATCCTCCAGAGCAGACTCTCCCTCTCCCTGTTGATCCCCCCGGTGTCTCCTACAACCTGGACCGTCAGTGCCAGCAGGCCTTCGGGGAGGAGTTCACCCTGTGCCCGGACACCCCAGAGGACCAGACTTGCAGCCAGCTGTGGTGCCGGGAGGAGGGCCAGCCACACTGCACCACCCGGAACGGCAGCCTGCCCTGGGCTGATGGCACACTCTGCTGGGTTGGGGCTGGGGCTGGTGCTGGGGCCAACACCACCTGTCAGGGAGGTGTCTGTGCTGCAGTGACTGATCAGCAGAAAATAAAGGTACTGTATGTTTTCTGAACCATTCTGATTCTGTCTTTGTCTGTCTATCTGTCTGTCTGTTTGAGTGACTAGCTAAAGCCTCCATCCTTCTGCATAGGGATCGGATGATTCTGTCTGAGGCACTAACTCCTCCAGTCTGATTGTGTGATTTATGAATGCTCTTACCTGCCTGAAAAAAAAATGTTTAAATAGGCTACCTCAACGATTTACTACCTACTTCTGCTTGTTGTATGCAGTGTTTATGTCATAGCCTGCATGATTTCTCTCTTGCTTTCTTTCACTTCTTACTTTCTCTCTCTTGCGCTCTGTTTCGCTCACCGTCTACACTTGACCATGACAGGTGTTTTTTTTATTTTCACTGCTTTGGTGAAAGATCGTTTCTGGCTCCCGTCTGTGTTTCAATACTTGTTCTTCAGAAATAGAATGTAGTCTCATTTCGTCATGTGCCCCCATCCGGCCCCGGCCCCGGCCCCAGCACCAGCCCTGTCGCGTGGCAGCTGAAAATAATAAATCCCTCTCTTATTCAGGCCCTCAAATGTCAGTCTGAGGGCCCGGCCGAGTATATTTGGTGCAGGCCTTTAAAACAGTGAGAGAGTATATTTGGGGCAGGCCTTTAAAACAGTGAGAGAGTATATTTGGGGCAGGCCTTTAAAAAGTGAGTTTATTTAAAAACAGCCAGGCCTATTCCAAGGAACTAGCTCGTGATCCCAGACACTCTGGCTGTTAGAGGAGTTGTTACAGCCAACTCATAAAAACCCAGAGAAATGAAATGCTGTGTCTTAGTAGCACATGCCAGGAGCTGTGAGTACGCACAGGAGGCAGTTACACGCGTGGCAGACTGCAGGCCAGGCCACAACATGCCACAGGAGATGCCAAACTAAAAACCCTAACCAAGCAAAGAAAAACTCTTATCAAGACTGTCATGTAGTAATTGTTTTCAAATGACAAGCCAAGGGAATATCATTACTGAGCATAGAGATTCCATTTTTGTAGTGTGAATCATTTAATTTCACATGTCCCCTGTAGCTCAGTTGGTAGAGCATGGTGCTTGCTACGCCAGGGTTGTGGGTTCGTTTCCCACGGGGGGCCAGTATGAAAATGTATGCACTAACTAACTGTAATTCGCTCTGGATAAGAGCGTCTGCTATATGACTAAAATGTAAATGTCCACTCAAGGCCTATAAACTTTGTGACAACTGTTGAAGGGTTCTAAACACAATTTCATTGATTGATTGACTGATTGATCTGTCTGGTTGTATCTTGTAGGAGCCTGTGGACGGAGGCTGGAGTGTGTGGGGCCCCTGGGGGTTGTGCTCCAGGTCATGTGGCGGAGGGGTGGAGTTTTCCCAGAGAGAATGCACTGATCCCAAGCCACAGAATGGAGGAGCATACTGTGTGGGACAGAGAGCCAAGTACCAGTCCTGTCACATACAGGCCTGCCAAGATGAGCATGGTAAATTAACACCAACAATCACTATATCCAAATCAATAACTGATTAATACATCCACACTTCAATAATCACATTGGGTGGGCACCCAAGCACAGACACACGCATACACATACACATGCTAACACACGCACTCTACACACACGTACACATGGATTTTGTATTGTAGATATGTGGTAGTAGAGTAGTGGCCTGAGGGCACACACTTAATGTGTTGTGAAAAGGGTTATGAAATGTAATGTCATGTAATATTTGTAATTGTATATAACTGTCTTAATGTTGCTGGACCCCAGGAAGAGTATAGCTAATGGGGATCCTTAATAAATACAAATACATCTTCCATATGGTGCATGGCAATGATAGAATTTCACATTTGTACAGTTGGCATTATCACATACAGTATAGATACTAGTTTAATTAGTAGCATAAGAGTTTCCTTGACATGCTCAGATGTCATCAGTAGAGATAGGATTGATAATGATATGCCATGTTCTTTCTCCCAGGTAAGAGCTTCAGAGATGAGCAGTGTGAGAAGTACAACAGCGACCGATACCTGGACATCCATGGGAACATCAAGCAGTGGATCCCCAAGTACAACGGTGTCTCACCAAGGGACAGGTGCAAACTGTTCTGCAGAGCAAGAGACAGCAATGAATTCAAAGTCTTCGAGGCCAAGGTAGCTATAACTCTACTCAAATTTGAAATAGTACCCAGCTTGTTGAAATTACATCATTATAACCAGAATCCAGTTTTGCCTAGTTTTGATCACTGGGTTGATTAATTTCCAACTCATCAACACTATTGATTTACAATTCTCTAGGAGTTTAGGCTAATACTTTGCATATTTCTCTATGTTGTTTCAGGTTGTTGATGGCACCACCTGTGGCCCAGACACCACCTCCATCTGTGTCCAGGGACAGTGCGTCAAAGCTGGCTGCGACCAGGTGATCGGCTCCAGTGTGAAGCTGGACAAATGTGGCGTGTGTGGGGGTGATGGAACAACCTGCAGGAAGATCACTGGATCGATGAATAAAGCCATGTGAGTAAAACAAATATATTCAGGATGAAAGTCCTTTGAGAGCAGAGTTGTCTCTCTAAAATCGTAAAAATGGTTGACTGATTCACTTTTTTTCAAGATGATTCTGATGTCATAGACAGCATTAAAATGCTGTTCATGGAAAGACATTAGCATACATCCTGTAGATAAGTATAAGCTTTCAACTGACACTTTCCTCTGTCTTAATTTAATTCAACACAGATTTGGCTACAACAACATTGTGACCATTCCGGCCGGGGCCACCAACATTGACATCAAGCAAAAGAGCCACCGCGGGATCAAACACGACGGCAACTACCTGGCCTTGAAGACAGAAGGTTCCTACATCCTGAACGGGAATTTCTCTGTGTCCACAGCAGAGCAGGACATCCCAGTCCTGGGTGCCGTACTCCGGTACAGTGGTTCCTCCACCACCCTGGAGAGGGTCCTGAGTTACCAGAAGCTCCGGCAGGCAGTCACTGTCCAACTCCTGTCCACAGCCGGAGACGCCTCTCCCCCTAGGGTCAAGTACACCTTTTTCCTCCCCAGGGATGTCCCCTTCACCAAGCCTGGAGCTGAGGGTAAAGCTTCGCTACATGCGATTCTGCCACTAGGGGGCGCAGAGTGGGCTCTGGGGGAGTGGTCCGAGTGCTCCAAGAGCTGCGGCTCAGGTTGGTCGAGAAGGAACGTGGAGTGCCGGGACGGGGGGGCCACCTTGTCCTTCTCCTGTGATGAGGACCTGCGGCCGGTAGACATCCGGCCATGTGGGGACCTGCCCTGCCCTGTCTGGCAGATGGGTCCCTGGTCGGCATGCTCGAGGACATGTGGTGTGGGGGTGCGCCATCGAAGCGTGCTGTGTATTGACTACACCGGGAAGATGGCGGAGCTAGGGAAATGTAACCCCGCCAAGAGGCCAGAGGTGGTTTCTTCAGAGTGCAGCTACCAGGACTGCTGAGTCTGTGCTGATAAAGCAGGAAGGGAAAGAGCAGTTGGTGGCAGTGGTGGGATCCAAGGCTGAGGGAAGTAGTGTAGGAAGCTAGTTAGTTAGTCAACTAACCAATACACAACCCTTTCCCAACCACCACGACCATGCTTCAGAGACAAGCAGTGAAGCTAGAATAATCAAGAGTAGATGGTTCACTATATCGACCAGAACCAAAACTGTGGCTTGGTTGTAGAAAAATGTCTAATTTGATAGATTCACTTAATTCTTTCTATGTTTATTTCCTTGATGATGTCATAGCTTCAAAACTACTATTGACGGTTTGTTATCCAACAGAGATCTACCTCAAAGGATGTAATAATCAACTATCACTTCTTAACCTGAAGTTTCTGTTTGCATCTAGCTTAACACATTATGAAAGGCACATCTAACCTTTGCACAAATGCTGCTGATATTCCGCTGGAGTGGTTTAATACCGCTATCATTCATTTTTGTCAAAATACATAATCACATCCCAGATTAGTTCGCTCAGGGATGGGCAACTGGTGGCCCAAGGGCCGCATGTCCCCCTTTTGAAGGCCCTCAAATCAATTCAAAGTGTACTACCTAATCAAATCAAGTGACATTCAATATTTTAGGGAGTAAAGTAAAACCTTTTTCATTTGAAAGTCTTATCTGAACATCTGAAACCCCGTTCCATTCTGTCTGTATTTCTGGAACACTGGAGCATGTTTTGGATGTCAACTCTCTGGCCACAAAGATAAACTCACACTATCACATTTCTCACATAAATCAGAGCTATTTAATTAAGTAGGGAAGTTTGAAACAAACCCACATAACCTTTTCAATTTGCTTGACTGTCTGTAGCTACATCAACTGTAATAGGGAATTTGAGTTTAGGTTAAACAAATGTATATTGAAATATGCATATTCATGATAGAAGTACTAGTGCTTCAGAAATGTTTTATCCACAGCTAGTTGGAATGTTTTTGTGGCATTCTTTTAAAACAAATGTCTGTAATGTTAATAACAAGGAGATAACAATTAGATTTTATTTATTTTTCTTAACTTTGTTTTAATTTGTTTTCGTTATTATTTTTGGGAATGCTGTAGATAAACATTTTATGAGTTATGTTTTTTCATCAACTAATGACAAGGAAAACAATGGAGTATCTGTATCTAATGTAAAACATGTATATGATGCTTCATTTGAAATGTGCTGTCCCAGAAAATATGGCATTATGAAAACTTAGCTGAAGAATAATACTTTTGAGCTCAACTGAAACGAGCATAGCAGCTATTAAAATGGTGTAAATGTACTTTATGATGCCACAACCTAGATGCCATTCATTAATTTGTGTTAAATAGCATGTAGAATCACAGCTTCTTTTAGAAATGAAATAAGAAATGAGAAGTAATTTACGTACAGTTGAAGTCGGAAGTTTACATACACCTTAGCCAAATACATTTAAACTCAGTTTTTCACAATTCCTGACATTTAATCCTAGTAAAAGGTCAGTTAGGATCACCACTTTATTTTAAGAATGTGAAATGTCAGAATAATAGTAGAGAGAATGATTTATTTCAGCTTTTATTTCTTTCATCACATTCCCAGTGGGTCAGAAGTTTACATACACTCAAGTAGTTTTTGGTAGCATTGCTTTTAAATTGTTTAACTTGGGTCAAACGTTTTGGGTAGCCTTCCACAAGCTTCCCACAATAAGTTGGGTGAATTTTGGCCCATTCGTCCTGACAGAGCTGATGTAACTGAGTCAGGTTTGTAGGCCTCCTTGCTCGCACACGCTTTTTCAGTTTTGCCCACAAATTTTCTATAGGATTGATGTCAGGGCTTTGTGATGGCCACTCCAATACCTTTACTTTGTTGTCCTTAAGCCATTTTGCCACAACTTTGGAAGTATGCTTGGGGTCATTGTCAATTTGGAAGACCCATTTGCGACCAAGCTTTAACTTCCTGACTGATGTCTTGAGATGTTGCTTCAATATATCCACATAATTTTCCTTCCTCATGATGCCATCTATTTTGTGAAGTGCACCAGTCCCTCCTGCAGAAGAGCACCCCCACAGCATGATGCTGCCACCCCGTGCTTCACGGTTGGGATGGTGTTCTTTGGCTTGCAAGCATCCCCCTTTTTCCTTCAAACATAACGATGGTCATTATGGCCAAACAGTTCTATTTTTGTTTCATCAGACCAGAGGACATTTCTCCAAAAAGTACGATCTTTGTCCCCATGTGCAGTTGCAAACCGTAGTCTGGCTTTTTAATGGCGGTTTTGGAGCAGTGGCTTCTTCCTTGCTGAGCGGCCTTTTAGGTTCTGTCGATATAGGACTTGTTTTACTGTGGATATAGATACTTTTGTACCTGTTTCCTCCAGCATCTTCACAAGGTCCTTTGCTGTTGTTCTGGTATTGATTTGCACTTTTCGCACCAAAGTACGTTCATCTCTAGGAGACAGAACGCGTCTCCTTCCTGAGCGGTATGATGGCTGCGTGGTCCCATGGTGTTTATACTTGCGTACTATTGTTTGTACAGATGAACGTGGTACCTTCAGGCGTTTGGAAATTGCTCCCATGGATGAACCAGAGTTGTTTTTTCTGAGGTCTTGGCTGATTTATTTTGATTTTCCCATAATGTCAAGCAAAGAGGCACTGAGTTTGAAGGTAGGCCTTGAAATACATCCACAGGTACACCTCCAATTGACTCAAATTATGTCAATTAGCCTATCAGAAGCTTCTAAAGCCATGACATCATTTTCTGGAATTTTCCAAGCTGTTTAAAGGCACAGTGAACTTAGTTTATGTAAACTTCTGACCCACTGGAATTGTGATAAGTGAAATAATCTGTCCGTAAACAATTGTTGGAAAAATGACTTGTGTCATGCCCAAAGTATATGTCCTAACCGACCTGCCAAAACTATAGTTTGTTAACAAGAAATTTGTGGAGTGGTTGAAAAACAAGTTTTAATGACTCCAACCAAAGTGTATGTAAACTTCCGACTTCAACTGTAGATAGTAGATACACTCCTAATGTGGTTAGAAGTCTAATCCATACACTCTTAGAAAAAAGGGTTCCAAAAGGGTTCTTCTGCTGTCCCCATAGGATAACTCTTTTTGGTTCCAGATAGAACCCTTTTGGTTCCCATGTAGAGGAACCCAGAACCCTTTTGGGTTCCATGTAGAGGAAACCAAAAGGGTTCTACCTGGAATTAAAACCTTTTTTTCTAAGACTGTACAACTCAGAGTAACAGAGAAAGAGGTAATGGTCTCCATGTCCTCTGTTAAGTAGAAATGCAATATATTGTAAATTTGAGCTGAATCATTTCCACTCTCTGGGTGGAATGAGAACAGGAGTTTATAAGACGCAGGAACAACTGAAACTGTTTAGCGGTCATTTTAGTTAATAGCTATATTAAAACGATTAATTGCCTAAATATTTCTGCCAGGTAAATCCCTGAGTGTTGAGAAAAAAGAAGAAACCTGCACACTGCTCTTGCTAGTATCACTGCTCTTTATTAAGCTTTACATATCAGCCTCAAAAGCTCTGACGAAGGCCTTGAGGCCGATACGTAAAGCTTAATAAAGAGCAGTGATACTAGCAAGAGCAGTGTGCGGGTTCTTCTTTTTTCTCATCTTATTCAACTGTTACTATGCACCTGCAACAAATATAGCTCAGATGTGCGAGTGCCTTTTGAATTTTAAATCCCTGAGTGTTAAAACGTTATTGCTTTATTTAATTGAAGATGCTGTTGGTGACAGAGTAAAAGGGGGGAGTTAGCTATCACGCCACCCCTTATATGTTGTTAGTTGAAAACAGCTTTGTTTTCAGATTTCCTCTCACTAGGTATGTAATAATATAGCATTCCTGGATGTATTTAAAGGAGAAAATATGTAGATCTGATTTCAAAGCATTCTATCCCTTCAATGAAGGTCTTTACAATGCTATTGTTATAGCTTCCCTCCAAAGCTATTTATTTTTTAATACTTTCAGACTAATTATTACAGTTTCATCTTCATGTTGCTGCTGTCTGTCTTCCTGAATTGTAAGAAATTAGAATGATTCATAATTTAACAATAAAGATGTCTCTTGACTGAAACACTTTTGTTGGGTCTTTCTTGTTCAACCAAAACAAAACAAATCAAGTGGATTCTCTTGTCTTGCAAGCCTCATTTTCAACATTTTGAGGCCTAAAAAAATAATAATCTATATACACCACCGGTCAAAAGTTGTAGAACACCTACTCATTCAAGGGTTTTTCTTTATTTTTACTATTGTCTACATTGTAACTATGAAAACTATGAAATAACACATATGGAATCATGTAGTAACCAAAAAAGTGTTAAACAAATACAAATATATTTTATATTTTGATTCTTCAAAGTGGCCACCCTTTTCTTTGAAGACAGCTTTGCAAACTCTTGGCATTCTCTCAACCAGCTTCATGAGGTAGTAACCTGGAATGCATTTCAATTAACAGGTGTGACTTCTTAAAAGTTAATTTGTGGAATTTATTTCCTTCTTAATGCGTTTGAGCCAATCAGTTGTGTTGTGACAAGGTAGGGGGGGGGGGGGGGGGGGGGGGGGGGGGGGTATACAGAAGATAAGCCTATTTGGTAAAAGACCAAGTCCATATTATGGCAAGAACAGCTCAAATAAGCAAAGAGAAATGACAGTCCATCATTACTTTAAGACATGAAGGTCAGTCAATACGAAACATTTCAAGAACTTTGAACGTTTCTTCAAGTGCAGTCGCAAAAACCATCAAGCACTATGATGAAACTGTCTCTCATGAGGACCGCCACAGGAATGGAAGACCCAGAGTTACCTCTGCTGCAGAGGATAAGTTCATTAGAGTTACCAGCCTCAGAAATTGCAGCCCAAATAAATGCTTCACAGAGTTCAAGTAACGGACATATCTCAACATCAACTGTTCAGAGGAGACTGTGTGAATCAGGCCTTCATGGTCGAATTGCTGCAAAGGAACCACTACTAAAGG